CTGGAGCTTGGCCTTCACACTGCTACCTGTGGGCATCCCTTGCAGGCCAAGACCTGACCTCAGCACAGAAGCGTGCAACACCGAGCAGAAGCGAAAGCCGGAAGTGCCTTGACCCTGGGCTGACCTGGGCTTCGCTGTGTGGGACAGAGAAGCACAGACGCGCACACCTTTTCCACCGCTGTGGGCAGAGCCCTGGTCCCCGGGTGTGTACGTGCATGCGTGTGTGTGTGTGTTTGTGTGTGTGTGTACACGCAATACACCTGGGCTCTTTCAGCTGTCGCATCAAAGCCACCTTCCAGGTGACCGAGCTCAGCAAGCGGAGCCACTTTGGTCCTCAAGGGCCACTTTGCTGATGAAGCTACATCACGGCCCACAGCCATGGCCACAGAGCACACCTGTGGGCAGGGCCCGCGTGGGACGTTCCATGGAAGCGTTGTCGGACGGCTTGCTGTGGTTGCGTATGTGGTGTGCTGTGGGTGACGTCAGGGTGGGGCTCACGCACCTACCCAGAAGCTGCTGCCTAGGAGAGAGGCTAAGCGGCCACCACCGTGGTGGTCTGGTGGGTCCTCCCGGCGGCGGCCTGTCCGTGGCCAGGTGTGGCGGCCTGGGGGCAGCTGTGTCCAGAGCACAGGAGGGAGGCTGGGAGGATGATGGACTGGCACTCGGGCGTCAGGGCTGCCTTCTTCCCCCACGTTCTTCCAGCAGGTGCGCCTGGTGCCTGCTCTGCGTTGGGTCACTCCAGGGTGTGGTTTGACTTTTCGTTTCCTTGACAATGCACTTTGAAGCGCAGAAGTCTGACCTCCACAAGCCAGCGTCGCCGTGCGCCGGTCGCCACCTGTCTAGTGGGGGGGGGTCCGCTTGCTTCTCCTGCAGGCCTGCGGATGCCAGGTCCTCAGCTGCTGCTTGCAGGCGTGAGGTTGTTACTCAGCCTTCCCTGGCTTCATTTTGGACAAACAGACTGAGTGTGTGGAGTGCCATCCTAGAGGTCCCCTCCGCGTGTGTGCTGCTCCCCGCTACCGCAGTCACTCGGGCTCTCTGGACGTGCCCAGCACCGTCCAGCAGTGACACGGGCTCTTCTGTCTCGCTGCCCCTCAAGCGTTGCCTTTTCATCGCCCTGCTGTGTCTGCCTTTTTATTATTTATCTGTATTGGGGTCCATTGGGCTTGGGTTTGGGGGTTTACAGGTTTTTTAGACAGCCGCCCCTCAGGATTTCCTCAGGTGTGTTCCTGTCCTTACCTCGCCCTCCTGGGGTGGGCGCTCCCGATGGCGGCCAGCTTGCCATTTCTGGGCGTGCTGCCGGCGGCTCCTTGTCTCGCACTGGGGGCTCACGTGGGGAGGCTGCCGTTGCTTGAGCTTCAGGGCCCTGTCTCCTGGGCGCCCCTCTTTGGTGCTGAACCCCCAGGGCCCAGTACCCGGTTCCTGGATGGAAGGAAGGCTCCTGGGCTCGCATGGTCATGTGACTGTGGGGGGTGTCCCAGAGGAGGGGCCTTGCACACACAGAGACCCAGGCCTGTGGGAGAGGGGGCGAGAGGAGCGAGGACCTTGCCCCGGTCTCAGACCGCGGCTCCGCTGCGAGGGCGCTTGGGTCAGAGCTGCTGGCCCGCTGCGTGGGCAGCCCGAGGACAGGGCCGCCCACACCGCCCACAGGTCCAGGGTTTCAGATTTTTATGCAGCTCCCTTTTGGTCTTTCCTGGCTCCCCGTTCTCCCACACTGCTCCAGTTTCCTTGAAAGCCTGTTTGAGTTGTTATTTCGGGGTCCTGGCCTGACAGTGATGGTGCTGATGTTGTCTTTGGGTCCCCTGGCTCTTGGGGGGTCACGTTTTTCTGTCGGTTGGCCCCCTGGCAGTTTCTGACTGTGAGTTGATCCTTGTGCCTTGACTGTTTTCGTGGGGTTTTGGGGGTGGGGTTTCCTCTGGAGGACGCTGTGCTTTGCTTTGATGTGCAGTTCAAGCCCTGCTATTCTTTTTGGTCTTCTTGTGGCTGTTTTTGAAGCTTATTAGAGCAGAACCTGGTGTCTTTGCTCTGGGCTTGGCCTGGCCCTGCGAGGGCTCTCCTGGCTGCCTGAGGGACCCATAGGTCTGTCCACAGCACTGCCCCGAGCGAATGTCTCCAGCCCCTGAGCCCTGGGACCATCAGACTGCTGCTTTGCAAGCCTTGAGGTGTGGTGCTTATTATTAGGGGGTGCTGGGCCCTGACACAGAGTGCTGGTCCTTTTGTCTGTGCAGCCCCAGCATTTCTGGAGCTCTGCTCACGGTGCCCATCAGCATAGGCTTTTGGCGCCCTGGCCTTGTTTGTCCTCCTTAACCCAACAAGACTGCTGTGACCTGCTGGACGGCCTCTCCCTCTTGGGCCTCTTACACAAGAGGGCATGAGCACGAGCACCATTCACACGTGACCTCTCCTGAGACTCACATTTTCATATGGTGCAATTTATGAAAATGGTTGATTCTTGCATTTTCTGTTTCTAGCTTTTGGGCAGGTGGGGAAACCCAGGCTGTTTCTCCTTGGTGCACAAGTAACCAGTTTTTTCCTTCTTTTTCCCCTCAGTACTGGGAATTGAACCCAGGGCCTTTGTAAAGAGCTACTATCCCCAGCCCTTCTTTTAGCTTTAGCTTTTGATTTTTAGGTAAGTTCTTCCTAAGTCACTAAGTTGCTCAGGCCTGGCTTGAACTTGCAATCCTCCTGCCTCAGCCTCCCTGACTCCTGGGATCACAGGTCTCTGCCAGTGCCCTAGCTGCCAGTTCCTTTCGATGGACACAAGCTGTTTCCAACAGCCCAGGGGGGCGCCGTGGACATTCCTACCCAAGGACGAGTACCTTCCTTGGTCCCATGGTGCAATGACCTCAGACCCTTTAGTATTTACCCCTAAACCACCCTCCACACAGCCGCTTGACACTCCAGACAGAGCGTGACTGTCCCTGTGTCCCTCGGGCCCCACTGTGCAGCTGCGGTGACTCTTGCCCTCCCTGGTTGTAACCCGGCGCCCTCGGCCTCATTGCCCTCACCATCCTCGCTTGGCCGCTCAGCTCTTCTGCTTCCTCTGAGCTCGCAGGTGCCCTTGCCTCCCAGAGGCCACAGGAGCCCAGGGCCCCCAAGGGCCTGGGGACTGCAGGGTGCCTAGAGCATGGCTTCTCCTTGGGTCTGGTCCCTTCCTGGTCTCCCAGGGTCTGTCCTCGAGCGGAGCCTGAGGCAGGGAGAGTGGGGCTGGGCTCTGGGGCCGCTTCTCAGATGAGAAGCTCACCCCCAGGATGAGCGTAGGGGCAGCCGGCGGTTCTCAGGGGTGGGACCGGGTACTGACGCCAGTGGGTAGGATGTCGGGAAGCTGCCCAGACCGGCCCCATCTGGATCCTGAGCCCATTCGCCGCTTTTCCGTTCCGCCCGAGGAGCAGGCGGCTTGGGGGACGCGCCTGGCCCCTGAGAAGTCCCAGGCCGCCCCCACGCTCACAACTTGCTGATCATCTGTCCCATGCCAGGACTCTCCTCAGTCCCCAGACACAAGGCTGGGCAGGCCAGACCCTTCTGTCCACCTGACGACCCTGTGGCTTTGCTCCTCCCCACACCCCAGTTCTGCCTCTGACCATCCACAGAGCCCACCTGGTGACAGGAGCCTGGCATCAGCCCCACTGTCCGTCCTCTGCCCACAGCCCTGCAAGCCTGCACCCGCGCATGTCCACACACTCGGTGCCAAGTCCCTCTCTCCCAGAGGCTCAGCCCAGCCCTCCTCCCTGTCTCCCGACAGGCACCCACCCGAGAGCCAGGCATGTGATGTGCTTGGGGGGGTGGACACCAGGTTCTTATCCGTGGGGCTCACACAACTGGGAAGCTGAGGCTGGCTGTGGAGGCTGAGGCGTGCAAGTGGCCCCGGGGCCTCAGACCCCATCCTCCAGGGCTGGGCCCAAGTGCTGGTTCCCCAGCCTCCCGGCTACCCTAGTATCCTACGCCACCTGCAGAAGGAGAGGGGAAATGGCGCAGGGGATTTCCAGACAGGCTGTGGCCCACGTCCTGCAGGACACCCTGTGTGTCACACGGGCTTGACGGACCTGCTTCATGAGGCTGGAGGGGGCCAAGCCCTGGGCAGGCGTTGAACGGACCTCTCCCTGCCCATTCCGAGATCGAGGAGACTCAGGAGGCCACAGCTAGCAAGGGACACTTGGGGGACCGGGGTCCAGCCTCCTTGGTTGGCCTTTTGTCCTAAACCCAGCTGGCTGGGGCTGGCGGGGACACTTGCACTGAGGAGTGAGTGGGGACAGGAGCCGATTCCACCCCGAGGAGTGGCCCTGGGGTGTCCCTGTACCCTAGAGCCCCCACAAGGTCTGAGGCACTGTGAGCACTCCCCAGGGCTTGTGGGAGGATAAGCAGATGGGGATGCCCCTGCCCTCTCTGGAAATCCCCATGGGCACGTGGGCAGGGCTATGAGTTCCTGGGAAATGCTGGGGGAGGGCATCCCCTCACTGCCTTCCAGCTGTGAGGTGGGGACCTGAAGCTCCCACGCTCTTGGCTCCACCTGATCCCCCCACCTAAGGACTGGGGTGCTGGGCTCTTCCTCAGGAATGGGGGGCCATCTGGAGACCCTGTCCCTGAGTGCAGGCAGGCATTGACCCATCTAGACTCAGTGCCCACCTGACCCTGTGATCTCACACCTGCCACCACGGCCCCAGGACGTGCAGTTAGTCAGTGACCACGAGGGCCAGTGGCACCTAGTGTGACCTCTGCTCGGGGAAAGCCCTTCTAGCATGCGGCATCCTTAGCTGACCCCCAGTGCCTACAGCTGGGGGTGATGGGTGCTTCCTTGTGGGGGGGCCCTGGCCCTGCCCCCTACTTCTGTGGTTGGCCACTCCATGGACACTCTGCCTCAGTCGAGAGGCCCAGGGTGGGTGTGATCCCCTCCATCAGGTCCAGAGGGATGCTGCACAGAGGCAGGAGGGACAGGCTGGGGACCCTGCAGGAGGATGCGTGCCAGTCAGGACCTGGGCGGGATTCTGGTGGGTCTGGATCTAGCCTGGCCGTGCAGAGGCCACAGAGAGGCCCTGGGCCGTCCGGGCTGTGGGTGGGGGCAGGGGTGTTGAGGGCTGGCTCAGCTGTGCCTTGGTGAGGGGGCTGGGCGGCTTTGTGAGCCCCACCTGACTGCCTCTCCGTGCCTCAGAGGGCGGCTGTGGGGCGGGAAAGCCCAGTGGGCAGCAGGGAGGTGGGTCTGGCTGGGCGGCGGTTCCATGTGGGAGCCTTTGAGTAAGAACCCCCTTGTCTCAGGGGACAGTGGGGAGCCCCTGGGTGCTCAAGGATGGCAAGGGACCCTCCATCCCAGAGTCAGGGTGGCCCTCCTGTAGAGAGTCACCCCTTCCCAGAGCCGTGCTGGGATAGGAAGTGACCATGGGAGGTGGCTGCATGGGGGATGGCTGCGAAGCAAACTGACCACGAGGGAAGTGAGTGTGAACTGGGGGAACCGAGGTAGTTGGAAGACACCGCGGGCTCAGCAGAAGCTGAAGCAAGCAACAGGAAACACAGGGCGTCTTGAGCCCTGAGGCAGGCAGCAGCAGGCCTGCTCTGGGGCTTTCTGGGTGGGCAGAGGTAGTGCAGGATCCTGGAGAGATAGATGTTGCTGGGTCTCAGCAGGGCCGGTGGCTGGAAGGCACTCTGCTATCCTGGGGCCTCCTGCCACCTGCAGAGCCCGTATCCTGAGCCTGAGGCCCCTCCCAGACGTGGAGCTAAGCCCCACCTTTCAGGGTGGGGACAATACCCGGTCCTGCCCCACAGGGCAGCAGTGGTCAGAGGGACTGGGGGGTAGTCCAGGACAGGGGGACAGCCAGCCTGGGACAGGGGCGTCTCAGCAGACAGAAGTTGGTAGGTCACTAGGGTCTGCCCGTGGGAGGGGGCTGCGTCAGTCTGCTGCTGTTTTACTTTTGCTTTTACTTTTGCTTGCTGGCTGAGAACAGCTCGGCTGCTGTCTTACCAGGAAGCCCTTGAGGCCCAGAGCTTCCAGTGGTCCTGCCCAAGGGGGCCTTGGCCGTGCTGTGTCCTAACCACAGTCATGGGGGCTCTTCCAGGCTGGGGGGCATCCTGACCAGGGTCATGGGGGCTCTGCCAGGCTGGGGGCCTCCATCCTGGCACCCAGTGCCGGAAGCCAACACCCTAAGGCTGGTAAGTCCTCCCACTCCCTTCTGTCCCCATTTCCCTCTCCCTGCTCCCGTCCCTAAGTGACCACCAGCCCTGGGATGCAGAGACAGGCCTTTGTCCGCTGCATCCCAGCTCTGGAGCTGACCTGGCCCCAGGCTCTGCCCTCCGTCCAGGTGGGGAGGTACAGGGAAGAGAGCCACCCACCTAGCAGACCCCTGCTGCCTGCACCCTCTTCAGGGACAGGTGAAGTGCCCCCCTTCATGGTGAGGGGGCACTTCCTGGGAAGGGACTCTTGGCAACCCTGGGCAGGAAAGAGTCCCGCGGCTGGCTGTGGAGTGCTGGTGTTTCCACCTGCAGCCCTGTGATAATTCGTTGTTTGTGCAGAGCGATAGGGTCCAAGGGTTGGAGCTGGGTGGCAACCAGCTTCCTGCCAGGGTGGCTTTCTGCCTGCCCTGCGGGGCCCAGTGTCAGCCTGGCGTAGGATTCTGTGGGACCCTGGCCTAAAGCAGCCCTGTCCCTATTTGAGCTGTCAGCACCTGAGGCCAGCCTGGCTCGCTGCTCCCTTCCAGAGAACAGTGGGTCCAGACCCGCAGGAGGCCAGGAATGGCTCAAGGCTGCCTGGGAAGGGTCCCTGGGGAGGGTACTCACCCAGCTGCCAGGTGTGACAGGCACAGGTGGAGGCTGAGAAGGCCCGACCTAGACTGTTCCCCTAGCCTGTCCAGGTGCCAGCACAGTCGTCCCCCACCATGGCACTGCCAGCCCAGGAGCTGTTGCTTCCTGTCTGCCCCACAGGGAGACTGAGACACCAGGTCAGCCTGGCAGGGTCACAGGGCAGACAGACAGCTGCCTCCCTCCATCTGTCCCCTGCCCAGGCGCTGTGCCTCCTGCTGCTGGGGTCCCCCCAGTGTACCCCTGCCCAGCCTGTGTGCAGAGAGGAGGAGTTCCCGGCAGGCTCAGAGTGCTGCCCCAAGTGCAATCCAGGTAGGAGCCTGAGGGCCCATGCTGGGCCAGCCAGAACCCCTTCCCAGCTGGCCCGAGCACCTCCGTCCTCGTGACTCCATCTCAGGTGACACAAATCTCCTGTCCCAGGGGACGCAGATAGTGCTGGGGCAAACCCCGAAGCCTGGACTCCTCCATCTTGGGACCCTGGCCCTCCCCTGTCCGGGGGTGGGCTTGGGGGATGGGGTGGCCTGCATGACCCCAGTCTGAAGCTGAGGAGGACAGGCCCAGGCCCAGGGGACCAGGAAGGCCCACATCCTTCCAGACCTGCCCTGTCCTAAAGCAGGTGCATTCCTGGAAGGCCGCTGGGCCATCGGTCTCCAGGGGACAGCTAGGTGACCCGCAGCCCTTGTGGGTGGTGTCCCAGTGCTCGGTGCTCGGTGGGGGCAGACGGAAGCCTGTGGGCCTCCTGCTGCTGAGCTCTGCCCCTGGCTGCAGGTTTCCACGTGAGGCGGGTGTGCAGCGAGGTGACGGGCACTGAGTGCTCGCCCTGCCCTGCGGGGACCTACACCGCCCACTCCAACGGCCTGAGGCAGTGCCTGCGCTGCCGGGACTGTGAGCCAGGTGCGTGCCACCCGTGCAGCAGACCAGAGCCCGGGCACCCACCCCAGGGGCTCCCTGCACTCTGCCACCTGGGCCTCCTGCACCACGGAGCCACCCTCAGATGGAACACCGAGGCCCTGAGAGCCACTCGGAGCTGGATGGCAGCGCCACCTCCCCCTTCCCCCTCCTCATCCCCCGGCTGCAGAGACACAGCAGGGAGTCCTGCTCCCACAGGGGTGGGCAGAGGTCTAGGCAGCAGGCAGATGGGAGGTGCAGGACCTGTGGCTGCCCCCAGGCCCCCACTGGCAGTGACCCAGGTCCGGGCTCAGCACAGTCCTCAGTCTCCCTGCGGGAGAGGAATGTGGCACCCTTGGGGGCCGGTGCAGAGCTTGTGATGCTCAGGAAGGGGCTGAGGGAGACAGTGAGGGCTGTGGTCCCTCGGGGTTCAGGAGGCGGTTGGGGGCTCAGACCTAGGGCTGCAGTGCAGCCCACAGACACAGCCACTGGCTGGGGTAGCACTCGTCTAGTCGGGCCTGGTGGGGACCCAGGTGGCTGGTGACACTGTCCTTCAGGAGGAACGAGGTGGGCAGGGCCTCCCTGTGCCGGCCTCTGCCCCCCTTGGCCTGGCGGCCTGGAGGAGGGCCTCTGTGGGCAGGGCTGGGGTGGCTGGTTCCTGGCTCCTGGGGCCCTCACTCCAGAGCCTACTCTGCAGCTCCAGAGTCCTGTCTGCACACAGGGCCTCAGATTCCCCACAGGCCCGGCTCCCCTCTCAGGAGCCTGCTGGGCTTCTTCTGCTCTAAGCTGTCCCTGCCGCTGCTGTCCCTCGTCCATCATGGGGCTCACACCTCTGTTTCGGGTACCCTGGGCGTCATGTTCTACCTGGCAGGGCAGGGTCGGGGCCCAAGCACATACTCAGACCCACAGGATGCAACTGGTCATCCAGACCTGGCTGATCCCAGCCACACATCCGTCCCGTTCCTGCGGTGGAGGTGACAGCAGCCACCTGGCCGCTGGCTCAGCCCCTTCTCTTGGCTCAGACATGGGCCTGGTGACCGGGAAGAGGTGCTCCAGTACCCAGGATACCACATGTGACTGCAGTCAAGGCCACTTTTGCAAGGCCCAGGAAGGGGACCACTGTGTCCTGTGTGAGCCTCATACCACCTGCCACCCCGGCCAGAGGGTGAAGGAGAGAGGTGAGCCGAGGTAGCACATTCACGCTCATCCCCAGGGCCCTGGACACCATGGTACCCGGCTCAGGGGACCTGGCGGGGAGGCAAATGCCGTGGCCAGCCCAGGTTCTCCTGTCTCAGGAGCAGGGGAGATGAGAGGAGGTCGGGAAGGAGGGTAGGCAGGGGACGGAATCACCCTGGTGGCTCCAGGGGGGCTGGGACCCCAAGTCTCCCTGCCTCCTTCTCAGGTGCCAGGGAGGGTAGCACTGGCAGGGGCTGATGGGGCAGCTGGTGGGCAACGCCAGTGACTTCTATGAGTCATGGTGTGACCCAGGTCTGCCATCCTTTCCCCAGCTGGCACCAGGCAGGACTGAGGCTCCAAAGGGCCGATGCCACCCTGCTCGGGGATTCCCAGCTCCACCTGCCTGGCGGCCAGCCCTCTGCCCTCCCCGCATCTCCCCAGGTACCAGCAGTCGGGACACACTCTGTGCTGATTGCCCACTGGGAACCTTCTCGCCCAATGGGACCCTGGACCAGTGTCTGCCCTGGACCAGGTAGGGAAGCCTGAGCCCCGGGACGCCAGCCCCTCCCCAGCAGAAAGGGTCACACCCCAGCCTTGGGTGACACCAGGGTCCCAGCCAGCACCCTGGGAGGAGTCACCTGAGCCCAGGAGGGAGCTGCCTGGACCTGCTGTGGGGAGCTGCTGCCTGCCCTGGTGGAGTAGGGGATCCCAGGCTTCCAACTATGAGGCTTTCTCTCCCACCTGCACTCTGCCTGGTCCCTTCCCTCTGTCTCCCTGAAATGGGGGACAGCAGGACAGACAAGAGGTCACAGCCAGAGCTGCTGACCCGGAGCTGCCCTGAACCGCGGCCCAGGTGCCCCTGGGCCAGGCCTGCGGCGCCATGCCCTCCTCTCTCCTAGGTGCAGCGGGTGGCTTCAAGGGGAAACAGAGCCGGGGACCAGCAGCAAGGATGTCACCTGCTCCTTCTCGTGGGCCTCTATTCTTGTGCCCTGCTTTTCGGTGATTGTCCTGGTCCTCATTCTTCTCGGGGCCATCTGGATATGGAAGAAAAAGAAATGTTCACCCGGTGAGCCAGGGTCAGTGGTGCTGTTGGGATAGCTGTGTCTGGTTTCCTGCTGTGACAGGTCCACGTGTCCCCAGTGTCCTGGTGAGGGGGGATCCTGACTGCTGAACCACCCCTGCCACCAAGACCATGGAGCCTAGCACCTGACGCCCTTCCGCTTGGGGACCATGGGGAGCCCAGGCACCCTGCTTCACTCGGGGGTCAGAGGTGACCTGCCGGGGCTAGGACTGTGTCTTCCTGGAGAAGTGTCCTGCGTCCCTTCCTCCTCCAGATGCCACCACTGTGCAGGGCCAAGCAGGGCACCAGAAGCCACCTGTGAAGACCCAGCACTGGCCTAGGCAGCCCCATGCACGGACCAGGCCCGCAGCCTCTACGTGCAGACACACGAAGGGGCGGGTCAGCACTCTGAGTTCTTACCCCAGGCCCCCAGTGCAGAGAGGTCTGGGGATCTGAGGCAGGCTCGGAGTGGCTGAGCCCGAGTGCGGCCCTGGCGGGGTGGGGTCCATTTCACTCTGTGGTGTCCACCCCTTCCCTGGATGCCTGGTGACTTGCAGGGGCATGGATGGGCTGGGACTGCTGGGACGGTGGCCTCCTGAGGGACAGGCCAGGCAGGGAGCCGTATGCACAGCCTGTCTCACCTTGCCTCTGTGGGTCAGTCTTGGGGACCACACAGCAAAGCCCAGGCTGGGGCCCCACCCCCTCACCATGCACCTGTGTGCTAGGTCAGCTGCTCTGGCCTCTCCCGTGATGGGGGTTTCTTTGTATTCCAGGCTATGAGGCCCCGATGACCAACCCCAACCAGGTACCATCACCCCCGCTTTCCCTGAGTTGATTTCTGGGCTGTGTGGGTGGGGGCTTTTCTGGCTATTAGGGCCCCCGAGTCCTTAGTCTACAGCTGAGCCAGCCCCGCACATTGAGGGCGGCAGCTGGGCTGGGAGCCTCCAGGCCATGGCTAGGCACCTGGACACAGCACACATTCTCCGCTTACCCGGCAGGAGAGGCGAGGCGGGGCAGAGGACCCTGAATTTACTGAGGCCCTGCAGCCCTTGCCCGACGTCACCACTGTGGCTGTGGAGGAGACGGCTCCCGTGCTCAGGGAGAAGGACCCTCACCGCTGATCACCAGGCTGAGGGGCAGCGGCTCGGTTCTAGGATGGCACCGCTGGCGAGAGCTGGCACCCACCCTGAGATGGAGTGTCACCAAGGTTTCCACAGGCTGTCCGCAGCTCTCAGGTGGGGCCCAGCGTCCTCCAGTCAGCCCTGGTGCAGCCCAGCCTTGTCCAGGAACTCAGTACCGTGGAAGGGTACAGTGGCAGCCGCTCCGCACCCCAGGCCCTGCTCCGGCCATCTCAACCACTCGCCCAACCCAGCTCCCATCCTGTCTGCGTCCTGGAGCCTGGTCGTGCTCGTCTGGAGGTGGCCCACAGTTCCACCCGCCCCAGGGTGGGCTACCGACAAAAGTGGCAGTAAGCCCCTCTCCTGTTTTATAAGATCTAGTTATACCCAGACATCTCATCACTATAAGTAACATTTCTCATCAAACCTCCTTCCCCCGCCAGACTCCCACCTGGGACCACAGCTCGGGGCATGCCCTGGCAGGAGCAGTGTCCCTTTCCATTGGGTGCTCACTCACTCCTCCTGGACCTCGGGGTGACCCGGGCTCCTCAGCTTGCTCACTGGGATCATCTCTACTCTTGTCCTCATTTGTGTCCCCGGGGTCTCTGTGGGCTCCTTTCCCACAGGCTCTTGGGTTCTTTCAGCACTGACCATCATTTCACAAGAACGTCCTGCATTTCTGGCGCAGCTGGCTGCCGCAGGCTCGTCTTGCTTTTCCCCGCCCCAGTTCTGGGGTCAGCATTTTCTCCTGAGAGTGCTGGCTGCTCTCTGGAGGATGGGGTTCCAGGGCCAACACTGGTTCCTGGGCCACATGGCATTAGTTTTATTTTTATTTTTTGCTATATAGAGAATTGAGCCCTGGGCCTCAAGCCTGCTAGGAAAGTGCTCCACCACTGAGCTAAACCCAGTCCTTTTGTTTGACTTTGTTTCTAAAATTTACTTTGAGACAGTGGCTGGCTAAGTTGCCCACGCTGGCCTTGAACTTTCGACTCTCCTGCCTCAGACTGCCCGGTGGGTAGGGTCACAGTGTGCACCTCTGCACCCAGGGTACGTGTGCTCATTGTTGGGCCTCCAGGAATTCACCATGGACAGACTTAGGAACTCTACTCCCACACATGTGCAGGCACACATGTAGGTGCGGACATGGAGGCAGGTGTGCAGATATGTAGAACTGATGTGCGCGTGGCCTCATGCTATATAAGACTCGAACACGCCCTGCCCATCTTGCTGGCCATTGGCGTGCATGGGTCCCTTGCCTGGTGGAAACCTGTGCCCTTATCCAGACCCTGCTGGCCGGTACTCGGGTGTGTCACAGCTCGGCTGGCCGAGGGCTGATGGCTGCTTCCTTTTGCTGTAGGGTTTGTGGTCCAAAACTGCAGACAGTCCTGCAGGTTAACTTTTATTTTGTCTTTCGTTTTGAGTGTGTTCATTTAATCATTTGAAATATGATTGTATTCACTGCTTGAGTTTGACTTCTCTTCGCAGTATCCTCACCACCCTTATTTTATCTCCCCACCTGTCTCTCATTTTCATCTATCTCCTATCTAATCTGCCCTCCTACTTTTTAGATCTGAGGAACACTAAAAAGGCTTAAATGCTTCTGTTAGCGGTCCAGGAGGTCCAATTAAGAGGCAAGGACTGGCAGATTGTGCGTGCTGTCTATATGAGTCCCCTGCTGAAAATGAGATTCAGGCGGTTGACAGCACAGCACGCTGAAGGCTGCACCTGTGAGGCACTAGGCTGACGTCGGAACCAGGACTCCAGCGAGGCATGGAGAAGGCCTTCTAGTGACACGCAGGGCCCTGTCCACCAGGTCACAGCTATCTTGCATGTCCACTCACCCGTGCAGATCCAGCCTGGCAGGACGCAGCTCTCCTGAGTCATAACCCTGTGATGGTGCCTGATCAACCCTGGTCTGTTTTCTCCAAATCCTCCCCAGCACACTGTAAAAGACAAAATCGCTGAGTGGAACCTGGAGCTTTATGACCTGGCCCTGGTGGATCAGCACCAGAGATAGGTGGGGTCAGCCTGCGATAACCTGGAACATTCTGGCTTGGATGGAGTCACTTTTTTCCTAACTGCCTTACAACCCCCCTGCTTCTGGCCTAGCTCTTGGGGATCTGCTGCCCAGGGCCACACACCTGTCCTTCCGTTCTCAGTAGCTTGCACTCTGCCATCCTGGCTGTGTATCTTCTGTCACGAGGCTCCTTTGGGCGCTTCTCAGACGCTGGGCCGGTTGTTCCAGAACATCACCTTCTGACAGAGTTCAAATCCCTTAAATATCCAGACAGCTGGAAGGAGAGCATCTAGTCCACACTTGGGCCTATGCCCACCTCTCTCAGGTATGGACAGAGCCAGGGGACTGAAGACCTCAAAGACAGAGGCCAGCATAGCCCTGCAGCAGGCTCCGGCTTCTCGGACACCTCATGAGCCCTGGGCCTTGAGATCTTTCTCTAGCCCATGGAGTGCTCGACTCAGGAGGGACTGCATTAGCAGTGCACCCCAGTGACCCTAGATGCTGGGAAATGGTGGGGAGCAGGGCTGGGGGCTCACGGATCCCTCAGGAGAGGCACAAGAGGGGAGCCACTGTTACCATCCAAACAGGGCTGGTCTCACATGAAGTTGAAGAATGAAATTGTAGAAAAAGGAGGCAGTTAAGTAGGGTGTTTACTGGAAGTATAGGATGGGGGAACTTTTAGTAGTTGGGAGGGGACCTGAAAAGGTGTCACCAGAGTGGGCTTTGGTCTAGGGCCCTTTGTGTCTGTTGGCAAGGTCCCTTGCTATGAGAGGTCAAGGTGGCATAGAGTTTGGGTCCCTGCTCTCGTATGACCCACAGAGAAGCAGCACGCGGTGGCCACGCACTGACCACACATGCTTTGGCTCACCGGAACTCTTGCTGCATAACTAAGGAGAAGGAAGCAAAGGGGGAGGGGATTGGCTGCAGTGGTCCCTTGCCCACGTTTGCATTTACATTCCTGGGCTTAGAGATCTGCGTAGACTGAATTACGGCTTAATCTTATGGATGTGCTGTGTTCTTCAGAAGGCTGACCAGCCTCACGCCCCCTTAGGCCCAGCTCCTTGCTACCTGCCTATTTATGAGCTAAAGAGCTAAGCTGTCTCTCACAACACCATCTCTGGCTTTCTTCTAGGGTGCTTCTGGAGATGGGGCCTCCTGCTCCTCTCCAGGACTGGCTCCTGGGCTGTGTGGCCGCCGTATCCTCCTCTGGGCTCCCAGGCACTGCTCGGCCTCTTTGGCTCTTCCTGCCTTCATTACCTGGAAATTAACCCCCTTTTCCCACCTGGTCCTCCGGGACCAACCCTAGCACTGCCACCCTCCTAGGCTGAGGGCAGCAGCCCCCTCCCAGGCCTCAGCTTTCCCATCTCTTCCGGGGGGCCTGTGGACAGTGTGGCAATCCCCTTCCTTCTCCAGCCCCACTGGGGCCCCTGGAGCTGGTTGTGGGGTCTGAGGGGTGAGACCAGTCTCCTGAGCAACAGGCTCTCTCTGTATGGGCCAGGCTGGAAGGCCCATTGTTGGCAGATATATACAAGTGAGCCTGAGGGGCGCGAGGTGACCTCGAGTCCAAAATACCACGGTTGCCAGTGAAGTAAGGAAACAAAGACTTCGGTGTATTACACATTTGTAATCACTGGTGAGGTCGCAGGCCTAAAGCGATCCCACAGAGCACAGTGACATTTTCAGTCACACACATTCCTCCTAAATCCTGGCCACCTGGCCACTCAGTGCACATAGCTTCCTGGCTGCCATGCCCACAGCCCAAAGATGTCAGGAAAGGAACTGTTCTTTAACGACGGTCCTGCCTTGGGCTGGTTTAATTAAAAACCCTAGCAACATAACACTGGGTCCCGCAAACCCAATCCCTTACTTTTCTACTATAAATTTGTACTTTAGTGTAATCGTGGCTGGCTGTGTGTCTCTGTACCTTTCCTTGAGGGACAGCAAGCAATTTGTGCTTACCCACTTGGTAAGCTGAACAGCAAGGTGTGTACAAGTGTGTAAAAGTGACAAAATGGGATTTTTACCCACCTTATCCTCCATCTGACTGGTTTTGCATATGTTTACTTGAGCAACACAGAGGATCCAGTAGACCTATACCACTCCAGGATTTGTTTTAAAAAGTTGTCTTTTGATTTTTCTGGTAGAAGTAGCCCAGTTCAGTACAATGGCACATGAAAACTAGATTTGCAAGTTTTGGAGGAGGTCACAAGTGAATCATCAGACTACTCATGCATGGATGATGAAGATGATCCATTACGGTAAAATCCATGCTTTCATCGCAGAAGAGTGGTGTGGGTGGATGATGATGACGACGACTTGACATTGGTCATGTCAGCCAAAGTTCCTGTGACAGTGAAATGGAGCAAGAATCAACTGATACACAGGGAATGCAGACTTCCTTGATTCAGATGATGAAGAAAACAGCAATGTGAGTACATATTTGACTAGTTGAAATGTAAGATGGCCACACAACCAAATAAAATGATCCAGTGTTAGAACTAGGTCAGAAAATATAGTGAGGATGTTGGCAGGAGTGAAAGGTATTGGGCAGAATGCCAGCACTGCCATTCAGCATTGGAAATTGAAACAAAATGCTACAAGACGCTGTGAAAGACACAAAGGCTGAGATGCAAGTAAAACATTATGTACCAGCAGCCACGTTAAAAAATGTATTTATTAGGACACCTCACTAGCTGAACTGAAAGCATTCCTAGGTCTGCTGTACTTAGCACAGGTTTCTCATGGCGACTGCAGGAATGTAAAAGACTTACGGAAAAGTGATGGCTCAAAATAGGGCATAAAAATTTATGCCCTTGGAGATGCAAAGACTTACGCTTTCAGTTTAGGCATTTATCCTGGAACTCAGCCATCAGGCCCTTGTTTGTATGGTAATGAATCAAATGATGTTGTGAACAGATTTGTTGCCCCTGTCTCCCAAACTAATCAGGATATGACATTGGACAACTGGTTCACCAGTTTCCAATTGATATTACATTTGCTAATGGAGCAGAAGTTGACCAGCAAAAGAACTGCAGGCAGGAACACAGCAGAAATTCCAAGTGAAATGTTGCAACTAGGGGCTGGGGATTTAGCTCAGCGGCAAAGCGCCTGCCTGGCAAGCGCAAGGTCGTGAGTTCTGTTCCCGGTACCGGAGAAAAACCAAAAAAAAAAAAAGAAATGTTACAACTTCAAAACAGAATCGTATAGGACAATCTTTGGATTTCAGGAAGATATAACCTTGGCCTCCTATATAGCAAAGAAAAACAAACTGGTACTGCTGATGTCAGTATTGCACCATGCGGAAATTTTGACAAGGAAACCTTGAGAAAATGGAAGCCTGAGACAGAAACTTTCAACAAAGCCAAAGGTGGAATGGATGTTATTGAGTTATGCAGCAGCTGTGACACCACATGAAGCACAAAGCATTGGCCACTGGTTGTGTTTTACTCGATCCTAAACGTGTGTGGCATAGTTTGATAGTTTAGAAAGGAAATAACAAGTGCAAAATATATGGAGAAATTTTCTTAGAGGACTGGGATTGGGGCCATAAGAGATCATTTACAGCAGAGGAAAAAATGTTTCTGCCCAGAGAACTATGCAAAAAAGGTTACGGGGCACGCTGGTGAGCTGACAGGCGACCAGGCGGGTGCAGCATCACAAAGACCCACTGTGACAACAGGAAAACCAAGAGATGTCAACTGAGCCCTACAAGAAAGGGCAGGAAAACAAAACATACGTGCTATCAGTGTAAGTGGTAGTTGTACATGGAACATGCAGTTCTCATGTGTGAAGACTGCCTTGGGTGTGACAGTTGAAGCAAAGCTTATTTCTGTGGTAGACTTTGGTTTGTCTTTACATCGTAGTTCACATAGCTTTTTATTTTTTATGTTATCTTTTAGGTTTTGTAAGCAAGTAAACAGCTGATGTGAAAATACTGATGCTTATTCTAAGCACTTATGACACATTTGATATTTTATTTATTGGCATCTTATTCCCCTGCTAAGTGCACATTGTACAATACAGTAGGAAGCTCCTGACACAGCAGGAAGACAGAGAATGACAAGAATGGCCTGTTGCACGGGAAGGGAAAGCTAAGCACGCGTGCTATAGTGTAAGCGAGACGTGTGCATGGAACATGCAGCTGTGTGTTGAAGCAAAGCTTGCTTTTGTGGGAAGAGTTCCAGATACTTTCATTGTAGTTTATATAGGAATTTATTTCTGTTATACTTTATTTTGATATTTTGTTGACTACACACTGTATAATAAGAACCTCCTGACAAAACAAGACCTCTGAGATGTCAAGTATGTCCTACAAAAAGGTCAGCAAATCAAAACACATGTGCTGTCCATGTAAATGATAGGTGTGTATTGAATGTGCTGCTGTCATGTATGGAGACCGCCTTGTGTGACCACTGAAGTAAAGACCTTTTTTGTGACAAGCTATTGGTATTTTCATTATAATTTATATAAGAATTTGTGTTGTTCTTTTTTAGACTTTGTACACCAAAAAGAGTTGAGTTTGAAAATTTTGATTTTTTTATAAACACAATATTAAAAGTTCAACACTATGTTTTTGTGATTTTTTTTCGTGTTAAGTACTCATTGTTTAATATCCTAAAACTCATACAATTATAATTAATAATTCATCAATAGAAATATTCTACAGAATAAACGTGGTCTGGAAGACCCACGCTTCTGTGCCTTTATGACAGAATTAGTGTTATGCTCCCCTAAGAACTTATCTTTCTTAATTTCCCCCCCAAGTTCCTTACCTGATGAAAGCCCCTGAGGAGATACGATCTAAAGAGAACTGGAAGACATTTTGCGATGCGCAGTAACTTTTAATCAAAATGTTGACAAGCAGTTCCCTAAACCCCAGAGACTTCCGCGTGGACAAAAATTAACCCACGCTGCTACTGCAGGCGGATGCCTTCCCCCTTCAAAGCTCAGCTCTGTCTCCTTACACTAAATTCTACCTCTGCGTGCACACTGCCGTGAAACTGCACAGGTAGGGGAAAAAAAAACAGGTTAGGTGGTGAGAGCAGCTCTGCACTCGTGCGCTGCGACAGACACCACCCCTCCATCCGGGTAAGCCTGGACCCCTGCCAAGCCGCGAAGATTCTCCTCCAATCGCCAGATGCTGCACTCTGCGCAAGCGCATCACGTGCGGAAGGTCGTCAAGCTTGGGTTGCTGTGCTATTGGCTAACGGATTATGAATATGCAAACCTAGAGACCCGGTTCAGTCCAGGCCCCTGGCGGGATCGCCATTGGAGGCGGAGCTAGGGGCGTGTCTAGCGAGGAGTCGGGAGGAGGAGCGGCCACTTGGGGGCGGGGTTTGGAGCAAGGAGGCAGAGCTGGGTAAGAGAGCGTCCCAAGGTCGGGCGGGGCGTGTCAGGGGCGTGACAAACTGCATAGGGGCGTGGTCTGGGCGTGGCCCGCGGGGGCGCGCAGCTGGCTCTGCATCGCGGTAAACTCGGCGAGGCCGGGAGTCAGGAATCGGGATCCCGGAGGAGCTGACGCCGCCATGAGCGCTGTGGACCTTGCCCGCGTGGGCGCGTGTGTCGTGAAGCACGCGGTGACCGGGGAGGTGAGGCCAGGCAGGTGCCTGTCAGCCGGGGTGGGGGTCCCAGTGCCCCGCGGGCGCGCGTGTCGGGCCCAGGGTGCACACCGGCCGCGCCCCTGACCCCGCCACCCGCCCCAGTCCGTGGAGCTGCGCAGCCTGTGGCAGGAGCAGGCGTGCGTGGTGGCCGGGTTGCGGCGCTTCGGCTGCATGGTGTGTCGCTGGATCGCGCGCGACCTCAGCGGGCTCCACGGGCTCCTGGACCAGCACGGCGTGCGCCTGGTGGGCGTGGGCCCCGAGGCCCTGGGCCTGCAGGAGTTCCTGGACGGCGGCTACTTCTCTGGAGGTGCGACCCTTCCCTTTGCCCATCCCAAGTCTGGCCCGGTGTGTTGGCGATGTCCTCCCTGCCCCCACCTTGTGCCCTCACAGAGCCCTCGGCCAGTGGCAGAGTTCCACGGGTCCCCTGTGGGTCTCAGCCCCGCCTCAGGGTGGTCACCTGTCCCGCACCGAGGGCAGGGTGCAGAGGGCAGAGTGTAGGGCGTGGAGCCTAGGTAGGGCTGGGGCACACCTGTGGGTTCCCTTTCTAGAGCTCTACCTGGACGAGAGCAAGCAGCTGTACAAGGAGCTGGGCTTTAAGCGGTAAGTGTGTCTGTGTGACGGCACCCATGGGTGCATCTTCTTGCTGACATCCTCCTCTCAGCTGTCTGCTCAGCCCCTACCCCAGCTTGCCAGCCCCAGGGGCATCGCAGCTCCAGCCAGCCCCTCTGCTGGGTTCTGTAATGTGGGTGTCTGTAATAGGCTTCTCTCCCAGTCGGCCAGAGCGGGCATGGAGCCCAGGGTGTCTGTCAGAGCCATGCTGGCTGCTGGTGCCACATGCTGCCTGGCCTGATTGGCAGTGCCAACTGAGCCACATCCCTGGGCATACCCAGCCTGGCCAGGTCCCACATTCCACATCCTCTGCAGAACTCAGGCCAGCCATCCATGGGCGGGGTGCCCGTGGTTCCTGTGGCTGCTCCTGGCCAGGTTGGTTGCTTGATGTAGCTGCCTGGTGCCATCTCGGAGCCCCTGCTGAGGTGAGTGGGTAGGGTGGCGCCTGACCTGAGCTGGTCTCTGCCTCTGTTGGAGAGCGGGAGGAGGCGCTGGGACTCAGGTTCTGCTAGTCAACCTGGACCAGGGAACTGGTGTCTTTGCAGGTACAACAGCTTGAGCATCCTGCCGGCTGCCCTGGGAAAGCCCGTGAGAGACGTGGCCGCCAAGGTTTGTGGCAGCCAAGGTCCTCTGGGGTCAGGGCTGGTGGGGCCCCTGGGGGTTCCCTCTGGGACTGGCCCTGTTCCTCTGCTTCAGGCCAAGGCTGTTGGCATCCAGGGAAACCTGTCCGGTGACCTGCTGCAGAGCGGAGGGCTGCTGGTGGTCAGCAAAGGTGGGTCAGGCCACATCCTCAGTGGGACAGCCTTGCTGGATTTGGTGACCGCACTGTGCCCATCTGTGGCTTGTCCATCTCCTCGTACTTTCCCCTTTGGGTGTGGCCTGCTCCTGCGTGTCACCTTGGCGAGATGGTGGAACAAGAGTACATGGTGCAGGGGCTGGGGATTTAGCTCAGCGGCAAAAGCGCCTGCCTGGCAAGCACAAGGTCGTGAGTTCGGTTCCCGGTACCGGAGAAAAACCAAAAACCAAAAACCAAAAAAAAAAAAAAGAGTACATGGTGCAGGTGGCCTCCCAGGTTGCCCTGACCACCTGCCTGCTGCCACAGGTGGTGATAAAGTTCTGCTGCACTTCGTCCAGAAGTCCCCGGGTGACTATGTCCCCCGGGAAAGCATCCTGCAGGCCCTGGGTATCTCCGCACAGGTTGATACCAGCAAGCCACCCCAGGTGAGTGAGGCCTGGACAACACGGCCTGCTACAAACAGTGCCCCTCCACACCTGTGCACATGGCGTGCTTGGCCAGGGCTCGAGCTATGGCCTCTGGGGAGTTGTGTGGGCCCCAGGCATCGCTGTCCCTGTGATTCCATTTGCAGAGGGAAGAGGCTGGGAGGGACCCACGGGGGGTGTGACCAGACAGGCAGGCCTAGCTGGTCCTCCCCTGTGGACAGTGGGCTGCATGGGGGCTGCATGCTAGAGAAGGCCGCCCTCTTAGCTGCAGGAGCCAGGGGCCTGTCTGCTGTCCCTGTGTGGTGTTAGTGTAGTCCTGGCAGCTGCCCTCCTGCCCAAGGTGGACAGGAGTGGCCCACAGGCCAGGCTGCCTCCTGTGTCCAGCATGCCCCCTTCTTTACACTGGTGGGGGGCCACTGGGAGTGTGGCCAACCTGACCAGGCCCGTTTCTCTGCAGTGTGATGAGGAGGTGTGTGGGAGGTGACAGCCCCAGCCTCTATGGACCTGGAAGACTTCTGCTGCCTTAGTGTTCCGGGTGCTCAACCAGAAGAACCATGCCGTGAGGGTGCTGGCTGTGACACGGGGCGTTGTCTGATTCTTGGGCAGCACTGAGCCATTAAAACTGCTGTCCCTGGGCACTGCGTCTCTTCACTGGACACACCCTGTATGTCTTTGCTGCTCCTATCTCACCCACTGTGGGTCCCTAGGGGTGCCCCTGAAGGCCGTTGTCCTTTTCAGGAAGCATGCCCCTGGCGTATCTGTGGACCTCAGGCCTCTGGCTCCTGGGATGCTGGGGACAGCCCTGACTGCCTGGTCATTTCCTTCAAGGTGACCTGCACCTGGTGTACCTTTGTCTGGGGACCAGCAGACAGGCAGAGGCTGGAGAGAGTAGGTTTTGGGGAGATTCTTGGCTTGGTGGAGGGGTGGGTGGATTTTCAGGGAGAAGGTGGTTTGGCCTCCACCACATGCATTCTGGGACAGCTTTGTGCCGTCACCTGCACCCTGCAGCCATAGCCATGGCCTTGGCCTGGACGTCTTGGCTAGCTCAGCATGTGCAGCTCTGGTCACCTTCCCTGGGTCCCAACAGGCCCAGAGGAGGGGTCCGGACCGCCCACCCACCGCAGACCTTGTCCAAGAGGGCTCTCTGGTCTTAGTGGGTTCTAAGGACCTCAGCACCTCCCTGTCCCTCCTCAGTCCAAGCCTAGGTGACCATAGTGTCCTGGTCCCCCGCCGCGGTCACTTACAAACACACAGCAGGCCACGTGCACTTTGAAGTCCAGCTATGCTGGCTTCCAGTGACACAGACCAACTCTGCAGTCTCAGCTGTACTCCCCAGGCCCCTGGGCACCTCCAGGCCTCTGTCCCCTTGAGTCAGGCTCCCCCCATTTGACAGGGCATTGAGGGGTAGTCTGGTCACTGCTGCCCCTGGCACGGGGAGGCTGAGAGCTTGTCAGGAGCCCCTCCTCCGTTCGCCCCCCGTCGTAGCTCCCCCATCTGGTGCAGTTTGCCAAGGCCACTTGGCTGCCATGTGGCTCCTAGACGACGACATGTGGCCTTTGAAGCGTTTATTTGGCCCTAGTCTGAGACTTGTGGACGCTGAGGACAACACACTTTGGTGAGGGGCAGAAGACAGCTGACTGTCTACGGGCTGTGATGGGCACTGACCCTTATGGGTGGCATGGAGGGCACAGCCTGGACACAGCTCCCCCGTGGGTGCCCGCCAGCGTGGAGGATGGCTGGAGGGCACAGTGGCTGCAGGGCACTGATGCACATCCCTGTCGGTCCTTGCCAGTCCCTGCTGGCCCCACTCGCTGCACCTTCTTGGCAAAACACCTCCTCTCCAGGCCAGGGTGGCATGGCCCACGGAGTGCAGCTCAGCCTCGGCTACCAGATGCGGCATCGCTGCGTGGGGTGCATGGGGCTGCCTTGGGCACAGTGGAATGCATCAGCAAAGGCAGGCAGGTTCTGCAGGGAGCCCAATACCCTGTGAGGAGCGGGCTGAAGAAGCTGGCCTGTGCTGGGCGGGGCAGGGCGCAGGGGCATGGGGTGTGCAGCGCACTTGCCTGTACTTCAGGGGGCTATGGACGTCAGTCTTGATGGACTGCACGGCAAACTCAGGCCTGTAGGACCCGCACCACACCTACAGGTGCACGAGAGGGTGTGGCCCAGGTCTGGAGGGCTGAGAGGGGCGGGTGGTGCCCCTTGGTTTGGGAGACCCCCAGTGCAGCTGCCCCTTGGGGGTGGGAGTCCTGCGGGTTCATATCCTCCCTCCACATCTGCACTGGTGCCCCAGCTGCCCAGCCTGCTGGCAGCCCATGGAGGCCCTGGGGTACACATAGTGGGCCCTCCAAAGACAGATGGGAGTGGAGTGTGGGCTGTGGGGCTGGGACGTGTGCTGCTACCTGGGCATAGTTGACAAAGAAAAGCTGTTCGTAGGTGAGCTCCAGCCCGGGCAGCAGCTGGTCCTTGCCACCTTCTGCGATCCACTTCACATAGGCCTGTGGGCACCAAATGCTACAAGGTGGCGGACACCTGGCATTGCTGCCAGGCCTCTGGAGTCCTCAGATCTCCATGCAGGTTGGAGGTCAGCTTCAGGACCTGCCCCAGGGGAATGGGTGGCTACATCTGCTGCTTGGGCCATCGCGGGCACCTCTGTTCCTTGGCAGCAGGGCTCAGTGGGGCCCCTGCCGGGCAGTGGCCAGCCACAACCCCCAGAGCCAGCTTCTGAGGCATGTGGCCCCTTCCCTAGACTCTCCCTCAAAGTGGCCTCCATATCAGCTCACAGGGCTGCCATGCACAGTGGCTCCCCACAGCCAGGAGATTCACTGAGGGTACTGCTGCCTGCCTAGTTGGGAGGAGAGAAGCCAGGCCCAGCCCCGGCCTCACTAGGGTGCCCCTCCCTGGGACCCACCTTGTATGCCTGGCGCACCCCTCCATTGTCTGCGATGTTTTCCCCAAGGGTGCTGAATCCATTCACCTGTGCACAGGACGTGGGGTGGGGGCAGTCAGGCCCTGCTCCCTTCGTCCCACAGGGTCAGGGTTAGGGTGATGCTGGTGGCCTTGCCCACTCACGCTCTGGTTCTCAGCCAGGTCCCAGCTGTAGTTGTTGTACTGGTGGATCATGCACTCTGACTGCTCTCGGAAGTGCTGGGCTGAGAAGTTGCTCCACCAGTCTAGCATGTTGCCGTCCTTGTCAAAGTTCCTGCCTGGGCAGGTGGGGCAGAGGCAAACTGTCCTGGACCCCAGCAGAGGCGGCTTTGGGGTCCCACTGCTCCTGCACCTCTTCCAGCCCAGTCTCTAAGGCTCATGATTCTGGACCAGAGACTGAGCCCTGAAGAGCCTCGCCATGCCTGCAGGGGATGCCCAGAGAGGCCAGGCACGGTGGTCTCCAAGCCACCTGCTCCCCAAGGTCAGGGCCTGGAGTTTTGGGTCACAGAGACACTGTGGCTTTGGAGACCTCCTGTGATGGGCAAATCCACACCCAGGGGAGGGGAACATGGCCCTGGGGAGAGGGCTGGGCCCCTCTGCAGTGGCAGGGCACCCCTCTCCCAGGGATGGAGGTGGGCTTGGCCCAGGAAGGGGAAGTGAGCATGGTGGAGGACTCTGGAGTGCAGGATCCAGCCTTGTGCCCTTTGTCCCCTCACCTGAAGCAGCTCTCTGGGCAGGGCCCAGCCCCAGCTCTCGGAGTACCCATGGTACTCTGTCCCCTGGCCTCTGTCCCCTGCACTACGAGGGGGCTGGGGTGTGAGCTGTGATGCGGCTGCTCCACGCCCCCTTACCATTGTCATCGAAGCCATGTGTGATCTCGTGCCCGATCACCATCCCGATGCCCCCAAAGTTCAGTGCCTGCGGCTGCTCCTTGCTGAAGAATGGCGGCTGGAGGATCCCTGCGGGGAACACTGCCGATGGGGCAGAGTCAGCGGGGAGGGGCGCACCCGTGTGCCTGGCTCAGGGGTTCTCCCAGGGGTCCTGCCATCTAATCCAGACTGGGAGGTGGACGTCAGGACTCTCCATGTACAGATGGAGAGACTGAGGCTCAGAGACTGAGGGGAGGGCAGGCGCATGCCTAGCTTCTTCTCACCCCACTGTGCTGCCCCCAGGAGTAGCCCCTCTGCCGCACTCTCTGTCCCTTCCCAGAGGCACAGGGGCACAGGAGGGCACACAGGGGATGGGTGGGCGGGGCAGCTGGCTGGCGGGGAGGGTCTGGGGGCTGGGGGTTGGGGCCTGAGCCTACCAATCTGATTCCGGTTTGGGGAGTAGAACGCATTGACCACGGCAGCCCCAATGATCCAGCTGTGGTGAACACACCGGTCACTTGCAGTCCACACTTCCACACTTCCCGAGACCCTCCTGCCGGACCCTCCCTGCCCATGTCACGGTGGCCCCTCCAGAGCAGGTCCTGTGTGGTTCCCAGTCTCTGGGGCCCTTGTGGGAGGTGACACCAGGGCCCAGACGCAGAGGGTACAGGGGGACTGTGACCGTCCCAGCATCCGTCCCCAGCCAGCACCAGGCCAGCCCAGCCCGGCGCAAAGCTGTTCCTGCTGTCTACACCACTCACAGATTCTGGTCCACTTTTTCCCGAAGCTTCCTGAGGCTCCTGTGGGCGCTGGCCTTGAGGTTCTGCAGTGCATTCTCAAAGTACAGGTCCTCCGAGAAGTTCAGCTACGGGAGAGGGGCCGTCACGGCAGCGCTCGGGCCAGGTCCCGAAGGGCCAGGGAGGGGTCCGGGGGGCTGGGGTCTTGTCAGGCAGCCTGGCATGCAGCTGGAGGCCCTGGGTGCCGGTGAACGGGGTCACCCTTGCCCTGAACAAACTCCTTTGTCTCCCCTGGGCTTCAGTTTCCTGGTCCATAAACCAAGGCTGATGCAATAGCTGCCCTAGGAAGGTGGCTGAGGGGTGACTGGGAAGATAGCAGGGTGCCTGGCACAGTGCCCCCTCCCAGGTCATTAAGGGCCTGGTTCCCCGGGGGGGTCGCTCAGAGGCGGGGGTGGGGGCGGAGCTCTGGGGGCACAGAGGGCGGGGCGCACGCTGGAATACTCCTGGTCCAGCCGCTTGTTGTCCTCTTCCAGGATGTAGGTGGGGTAGCCGATCTGTTCCCTGATGCTCATGGCCTGGGGGGAGTGGAGAGCTGGCTGGAAAGGTTGGCCTGCTCATTGAGGGAGGGAAAGGGGCTAGGGGGCCACCCGAGATCACCCTCAGAAGGCGACAGGAGTCGGTGACTGCTGTCTGTCACCCTGCTGTTTGTTCAGAGGCCTTGCTGGGTCCCTGGGTGCTGGGATTTCCTGGTTTTGCCCCCTCCCACTGCCTTGTCCACGGGGTCCTGACTGCTGGACTCTGGAGGATGCATCTCTATCTTCAGGGCTCTGTGGTCACTGGCTCCAGCATCCCCATAGCTGCCAGGGCCCTACCAAGCCCTCTCACCTTCTCCTGGGCCTTCTTCTTGGACTCCTCATCCATCCAGCCCAGCTCATCCAGGGTCTCCACGAACACAGCCTGAACCTTGTTGATGAGCTCTTGGACCTGGGGGCCATGTAGGCCTTCATATCCGGGTTGCCCCAGGGGTGTTGGTGTAGGGGTGACCACCCTGCTCAGGGGCCTCGCCCTGGGTCTGCTTGCCCTGCATTCATGATGTGTACAGCCTGTGTCTCTCCCAGGTGGGCCAGCAGGGTCTGGGGCTGGGGGCCCAGTGGCTGGCTGGGGTCGGGTGTCGGGTGTCTGTCCTCTGTCTGGTGGGTCCCAGGGCATACATGTGTGCCTCCAGGTGGAGGGACAGAGGGGGCCTGTATGGCCTTGAGTGCAGGGTGGTGGCCACGGGGCCTGCTGTGTGGCTGCGTCCCTGTGGGTGGCAGTGGATGGGCACCTGGCTGTCAGAAAGCAGGGACACCCACCACGTTCTTGTTGTCCCCGGAGAAGGCCTCCTTGACGTACAGGGAGCCCACAGCGCTCTCCATGTTGCTGTTGACATAGCTGATGCACTCCCGCCAGCGCACCTCCTCCACCGTGGTGCCATACAGCGCCTGGCATGCCATTCATTCATTCCTTCGTCCATCCCTTCCACCACATCAGCTTCTTTGAGTCTGTGTGGGGCCCTCCCCTTCCTGGGCCCCAGGGTATCCAGGAGCCAGGGGGGACAAGGGTGACTCTGAACATTGGTTCAGCAGTTCAGGTTCCTCTCCAGGCTGGGAGCTGAGCCTCTATGCTGGGAGAGGTGGGGTGGTCTTGCTGGGTCTCTCCCCTCCTCTTTGACCTGGTTGGCCAGGCACTGCCTCTAGTGTCCAGGCTGGCACTGACCCAGAGTAGCCACCCTGGTCACCATTCCCAAGCTCCCTGGGCCTGGCTTCCTATGGCTGAATTGTCAGTAAGAATGCCTGCCTGTCCCCGGGCTGGAAGGCGACAGGAGTGAAGCATCCCCATCAGATGTGGCCCTTGGCCCCGTGACTTTGCCAACCTTGGTGTGTGACCCAGGGTTATGCCAAGCCTGGTACACCAGATGATGGGTGAGGCTCAGCCTGGCAGGGTGGGTGAGACTCGGCCTGGTGGCCTGGTGGGTAGAGCCTCCTCTGTGTGCTCACCTTGCGGTAGTTGACTCGCGTGTCCTTGAACCGCTGGCTCAGGCTGCTGATGCGATCCAGCACCAGGCGCCAGATCAGATAGTTCTGCATGGTCCTGGCAGGAGGCAGGGGCACGGCGAGCGCTCGTGTGGGCAAGGGACCCCAAGGGCCCACCCATCGACCCGTACACTTGAGAGGCCCCCATCTCCAGTGCAGGGCTCCCTGGCCACTCAGTGTAACTCCCTCAGAGCCTCTCAGAGGGGCCTCTCTTGGTGCTAGCAGGTGGGGACGGCAAAGACACCGAGCCCCCTGGGACCTTCCCCAGCCTCACCTGGCCGAGTAGAGGTTGATGATGTCCTCAAGGTTCTGCAGGTAGGGGATGCCGTAGACCACCACTTCCTCATCAGGCAGCAGCTTGATTTTGACAGAGGACAGCACAGTTTGTATGAAGAGAGTCCAGTTAAAACCCTGAGGACAAAGGCAGTGGGACAGAGCAGATAGGTGCTGGGCGTCTGAGAGACGCAGGATTCCTGCGAATACTTGAGAAGTGGGAGAAGGTGCAGGATTGGGGAAAAGGGGGAATTTCTACAGAGGGTACAGACAAGGACTGGGAAGAGCATGTGCCAGATTTGAAAAATTAAATATAACTGGGAAAATTCCTACAAAAACAAAACTTAGCAAAAATGACAAGAGAAGAGGTAGAAAGTATGAGTAGTCTTATGAATTCAATAAGCTGAGTCTTTAATTTGAAATGTTCCCACAAAGTAACTCCCAGGCCCGTCGGGCTTTAGGATTACTTTATTGGCATCTGACATTTAACAGAACTCGCTTTAAGGGTTTCCTTCTTACTCAAGGGTTTCTAGAGAGGAGAAAAAGTAAATTCTTTCAACTTCTTTCATGAGGCCAAGAATAAGGACATTACAAGAAATGAAAATGGCAACCAGTCTTTTATGACTATAGGTACAAAAATTCTAAATATTATGGAATATATTCTGGGAATGGAATTTGCCTAAACCAGTAGAAAATGGCAGTCCATTATAGCCAAATTAAATTCATTCAAGTTTGGTGTTACAGTGGGGAATCAATTCAGTATAATTCAGTAAGATAACTAAATAAAGGAAGAAAACGGTACAGAAAAGGCACTTACTAAAATCTGCTGTCATTCACGGAGAAAATTTCTTGTCAAACTAATAGCATGGGAGATCTATAATCTACATATAAAGGAATATCTACAGAATAAAGGAAATCTACAGAACAGGAGCTGCAACATGGAATGCAGCCGTGTGGCGTCCCAGGCTGCCCCTGATCTCAGGAAGGACACAAGGCACCCAAAGCCCCACCCAGCACAGCAAGTCAAGAAAAAAAATAAACCAGTGAGCAGCCAGGCATGGTGGTGCACGCCTGTAATCCCAGCACTCGGGAGGTTGAGGCGGAGGATTGTTGTGAGTTTGAGGCCAGCCTGGTCTACAAAGTGAGCTCAAGTCCAGCCTAAAATGCATAGCGAGACCCTGTCTCAAAAAGACGAAACAAAATAAACCAATGAGATGAGGCAGGTAATAAATTAAACTGCTGCTTTTCACAAATGACAGCGTTTTGTATTGTAAAATCTACAGATACAGCTTTAGAACTAGAAAGTGTGTTGGTTTTTCGACATGTTCCCAACAAACAATAAAAAGATACATTACAAAATACCATTTTCCATAGTATAAAACACTTAGGAATAAATCTTATAAAAGTTGCATGAGACCTTAACACGGAAAACTAAAAAACTAAAAAAAAGAAAACTAAAAAACTCACTGAGAGAAATTAAAGGATCAATATTTGGAAGTGTGTATCAGTGTACATCATGGACCAGAAGACTCAGCGTTGGGAAGGTGTTAATCTTCTTCAAACCATCAGGGAAATTCCACGCAATTCCTATCAAAGTCCCAGCAGGTTTTTCTGTGGAATGGCAAGCTGATTTCAGTGAAAATGCAAAAGGCCTAGAATAACTAAGAGAATCTTGGAGAACAAAGCCGTGAGACCCGGCAGTGCTGCTGTCTCGACTTCCTAGAAAGCCATAGCAGTGGTGGACAGACCGTGTGCACAGACCATGAAACAGGAGCACACAGGCATGCAGACACTTGATTCACACCAAAGATGGCACACTGCCAGTGGATAAGGGAGTCTTGCCCATATGTGGTGCTGGATTACCTGAGCTTCATCAGGAAGAAACAAGACAATCCCGACATCTCCCTGTACACACAAAATCAACTCTCGCTACGTTGGTACATCACAGATCTGAACGCCCTTGAGGTAGGCAAAGATTTCTTAAATGGAGCACAGAAAACACTAACCACAAAGAGAAGATCGCTATCTTGGATAAGATGATAAACTGGACCGTTAAAAACCTCCTTGGGGACGAAGGAACCATGATGATGTGAACCGGTTGCATAGTCGGGAGGATGCTACACACCAGTGCCTGTATCCAAACAGAGCCTCTGAAGATCAGTAAGAAAAGGCCAGGCAGCCAGCAGGGCAACCGGACCAGAGACTTGAAGGTGTGTTTCCTTGAGGAAGACAGCCTCGGCCCAGTGATGTGAAATGTGAGGGTGATCGAAATACACAGTGAGTGTTTCAGTTTTAAAAGCAGCCTCATAAAAACATGATGCTGTGTCCTCATTCACCTCATTCACTGTTCCCAGGTGACTTCTGGCTCTTTCCCAAAGTCAAAGCACTACAGAAAGTCAAGGTTTTGAATCAACTCGACGTCAAGGTAGCCAGGACAGTGCAACTAGAGACACTCAGGAAAGAGGACTGCGGAGCTGTTGCAGAAAGCAGTGAGAACAATGGGATGTGTTAGAGTGGAGGGGAGGATTTCAAGGAGGCTTGTCGGCAGTATTTTATTGCAGTAAAGTTTTAAAAAGTTTAAACATTCTCTGTATTTTTCTCTTTTTTTTTTTTTTTTTGGTACCAGGAATCGAACTCAAGACCTTGTACTTGCCAGGCAGGCACTTGTGCCACTGAGCTAGACCCCCGGCCCCAGTCTCTGTATTTTTCAATCGCTTCTTGTGGTACTTGACCTTGCTGGCCTCAGGGAAGCTGAGGTGAGCCCAGATGGGTGCCTCCCATGTCCCTTTGAAGGGCTAAGGTGAGAAGAGGGGGCGCCACCAGGCCCTGGCAAGGGCAAGCCACACACTAAGGCTGGAGGGTGTAAATTACTGTGGAGAGGCCCTGGGCTGGCCTTATCTGCCGGACTGAATGTCTGCACCTCTGACCTAGGGGCTTCACTCCCAATGGGTACAGGCAGAACCCTGCCATGTGTGCCCAAAAGCCATGCACCAGCATGAGCCAGGCAGTCTTGCTCAGCAGTGCCTGGAACCAGTGTCCACCAAGAGCCTGATCCTTGTTCTCAAACCCCAACGCTAGCAGCCACCAAGCTGCGAGAGGGGTCAACAAGGTGCTGTGGTGTGCGTGGGTCTGGTCACAGGGCAGAGTGAAGCCCAGGGCAGCAGGTGCCTAGGGGGAGAGGGCCAGGCAGCTCTGGAGGAGGGCAGAGGCAGTGATGGGAAGGGATGCTGGGGCCTCCGGGTGCAGGAATGATGGCCTGAGCTGTGTTGGTATGGATGCCTCAGCGCATGGCCATTCTGAGCATTATAACCCAAACGCCCCCAAACCCACACTCCAGATGTCCCCAGCCTGCCCAGGCCACCTCCATGGTGACTCCAGGCCTCCCACATTTTGCCCATTCCCAAACCTGTAGGTTTTACCTTCAAATACATGCAGGGACCACCTCTCACTGCCTCCCAGACCAGCAGCCTCATGCCCCAGCCAGGCTGAGCTGCAGCCCCTGGCCACGTCCCCAAGGCCCATCTCCTCAGCAGCCTGGTCCTTGTAATCGTGAACTGGCCATGCCCCATTTCTTCCCCAAACCCCTCCTGGGAGTCCAAGCCTTCACCTGACGCTCAGGCCACCTGATCCACTGTTCCCCATCTCCCTCCAGCAGCCGGCCTCAGGCTCTTGGCTCAGAGATGAGTAAGTGAGGCCAGGCTGGCGGGGTCCCGTCACGGCCTGGTGTGCTCCTCTGCCGTTCCCCTAGGGCTAAGGTGGCACCTGCCCAGCCTTCAGCACCCCAGAACAGTTAGTTCATAGCCCCTCAGCCTTGGTTTCCTGATAGACCAGGTTGCCACCAGGCCTGATGGGGGACCAGGTGGCACCCACTGTCCACCTGGGACTCTTCACTGTGCTGTCCACCCTCACTGCATCCACTCTGGGCTTGGTGGTACGGCCCTGCTGGGGGCTCTGAGGCCTCCGTGAGGAACCTGGAGCTCCAGCTGGGCTCTGAGAGGGTGTCGGAGCCTCACCTTCAGGCCAAACCTGTCCTGGAGCTGCTGCAGGTTCATCCTGTGGTACAATGTGGTGACGTCGTGCCTCTCCTCTGGGGGTACGGTGGCCTGCACAGGTGGGGTTACATGGGCGGGCAGCTGGGGCCTGGCCCCACGACCCCTGGCCCTGGGCCCTGCCTCACATTGGCCAGGTGAGTCTCCAGTTCCAGCACCTGCACCATGTCCTCCTGCACCAGCCGGCTGTCCCTGGGCAGTTTGCTGTCCCTCCGCAGCATGGTGGCCACCGACATCATGAACTGCAGGTAGGCGTCCCGCACCTGGGCCAAAGGTGGCGCTCTGTGGCATGGGATGGCATGGACACAGAGCAGCCCCCGAAACCCGAGGAGCCTTGGCCCACAGGGATGGGGACCATTGCAAGGAAGGGGAGACAAACAGGAGCCCGCCCTGCCCCGGCCCACCCTGACCTGACGAGCTGCGTGCTCCGGTGCCTGGCCTGCCCCAGGCCCGAGGTTCAGTACGCCAGGGCCATGCCAGGGAGCCCAGGCCGAGCTCCAGGCCCAAGCCCAGCTCCTGGCCGACTGAGCAGCCCAAGGCTCTGTGGTGGGGACAGCGCTGCCCTGGGCTGTCCTTCCTGGGCTGGGAGTTGGTTCCCAAGCTGCCTCCCGCCTGGGCCTCCCTTCTTCACGCCCCATCTCGGCAGTGGCACCACCTGGCACCTGGCAAGACAGTGTCCCCAGCTGGGCCCACTCAGACCTGTCCCAGGCTTCTTCCCCTGGCCATGGCCACTCTCCTGGCTCCTCTGCCTGTGCCCAGCCTTTGTGTGTGGCTGCCACCCCCGGCTTCCACACAGCTCATGTGATGTCCTCAGCTTCACTGCCCACTCTGTCCTTCGCTGTCTCCTCCACCCTTGTCCCAGCCTCCTCCATCTCTCCTCCCTGACTGAGCTCCATAGGGCAGGGACAGAAAAGCCGGAAGCAGAGAAGGCCTGGCGGCTGCCTGGTGCAGATCTCTGCAGGCCCTGGACCCTGGCGGTATGGACCTGGTTCTGCATGGTGGTCAGGGCTGCTGAAGGGATCAACCCGCAGGTGTGCATAGAGGCTGGCAATGGGAACAGAGAGGACCACCAGGGCCTCAGTTTACCTTCTGGTTGCTGTCCTTCTTGATGTAGTACTCCCGGGACGGCATGCCCAGTGTGGGCTGGTCTACCTGGAAACACAGAGGCTGTCACCCTGGCAAGGGCTGGGAGTCCCTGCCGTTTGTCCGAGGTGGCAACCGCTGCCCAGTGGGACCCTCACTCCCTGGGAAGGTGGGTGCGGCAGTGTGCAGCCCCTAGGACCCCAAGCCCTGCTCTGGGTGATGGGCACAGTGCAGGGCTGGAGGGCAGGACTTGGGGGAGGCTGGTGAGCCCCCACAGTGTTGTCCATGTGTGTTTCCCTGGCCCTCTAGCTGTGGCCAGTGCGGCCCTCTGAGGTCCAAAGGCTGCACTATTCATGAGGGTGAGGCTCACCAGGGGTTACCTGATTAGGGGTGATCAGAGCCCACTGCTTGGCAGCCTGTCCTGGCCCCCCAAGGTGGACAAGGCAGAGCTCAGGAAACTGAGCCCTGGACCCCACTGAGATCCACAGCCCCCTGGCCAATGCTCTGGCCTATCCCCTTGCTGCATAGTAAAGCCTGGCCAGGTGCAGGCTTCATGTGGCGCATACGTAGATGATGTGTTGGCTGGAGTTCATGTCGTCATTCCACACGAAGAGGTCGATGAGGACCCGCCGGTTGAACTGCGTGTTCATCACTGCCAGCTGCCGCTCCAGCTCCCACGTGGGGCCTGGGGAGCAGCATCCATGCTGGGGGGCCTGGAGTCTTGGCCCAGCCTCCCCTGGTGGTGCATCGACTCCTAAGCTCAGAAATGCCGTGGTCTTCCAGACCCCTGCCTGCTCAGGGTGGCAAGCTCCTGGTGGGTCAGGGGCTGGGGCAGGGAGACACACTTCCCGAACAGTCCCCAGGGATGCTACAGGTGTGAGGGCATCAGCCACTCCATGCCACCCTTGCCCAAGGCTGTACTGGAGCCTTAGAGTCCAGGGATCCAGGAGGGTTGCTTACTGTGCAGAGCTGCAGGGGACCAGCCCCAGTGAGCCCATCACAGCACCAGCTGCTCAGCATGGGGCCTAAGTTGGCTCCTGCCACTCTCAGCTTGGCTCTGGCAGGGATGAGCTTTTTGGGGCTCCCTGAGTTCCCTGAGTTCCAGCAGCCAGACACGCGGTCAGCTGGCTTGAGTCACATGGGCCTTCTCCGCTGCATGGTCTGGGCCCCCAGCAGCCACCTGGCCTTACCTATGGTCTCGTTCCACTTGTCCATGGCCACTGGCCAGCCCCCCACCACCGCCAAGATGTCCAGCAGAGGCCGAGAGTCTCGCTTCTCTATCAGGCCTGAGAAGGGAGTAGCGGTCACTTGCCAGAGCCTGGGGGGCCATGTGTCACACTTTGAACAGGAGCCAAAGCACTGAAAGTCTGCCTTCTGCACCCACACCCACATATATCCATGTGTACATATACACACATGCTGACATGTACATGAGACATAACACAGTGCACACACACATCCATACACACATGAACACACCCACAGAATGCACACCACACACATACCTGCGTATACACATGTGCATATAAACACAAGCCCAACACGATATGCATACATATGTGAGTACATCCAAGACACATGTACTCTCACAAGCACACACACACATCTGCATGTACACACGTATGCACCGCTTTGGTTTGGATCAGAAATGCTCCCCCAAAGGCTCATGTGTTCTGGAGGATGATTAGATCGTGGCATCGGGTGCAGCCTCATTGGTGGAGGAGCCCACAGACGCATCCCCGGGGGATGTGCTGGAGGAGAGGGGCCTGGCTGGAGGGAGCAGGGGTCCAGGGCATGCCGGAAGGATGCGTCTTGTCCCCACCCTTTCCTCGGTCTCTCGGGCTCTTTCCCTTCTTCCCTGCTTCCTGGTCACCGTGAAGCGAGCAGCTTTTCCCCGCCAGGCCCTTCTGCCATGATCTTTCCTGAGCTGAAATAAACCCCTCCCTGTTTAGGTGGTTTTTCTCAGACATTTGGCCACAGAGATGCAAAGTATGCACACATATACATACACACAACATAATATGCACACATATATACACAACATAACATGCAAACCTATCCACATACACTTATGTACATCCAAATGCATACACACAATACACACGTGTCATACATATGTACACACATGCACAGTATGCACACACATGCTAGGTATATGTACACATACACGTGCATACACACGTGTGCGTGCTTGTCCTGGGCTCCTGCTTCCTACTGCTTTCGCTGGCTTTCTGCTGCCTGGACAGAGCCTGGCCTGGATGTGAGGTCGGGCAGCTGGCAGTCAGTCAGCACTGCAGGCCGGCTCCGTGGCCAGGTGGGGGCACTGCACACAGACCTTTGGCCCAGCCGAGGGGGGCCCCTCCCACTCCCTGCGCTGCACTCACTTTCTTTCATGCAGGAGCGGTACAGCAGCTTGGCCTTCTCCACGGCTGGCCGGGACTGGGCAGTGGAGTTCTCCAGCATACCTGTGGGCAGAGGAGGATGCTGGGCAGAGCAGGGGTGGCTGCTGGGGCCCAGGTTGGTGGTCCCTCCCTGCCGCAGCGGGGTGGTATCACAGGGCATCCCTTCCCTTCCAGGGGCTGTGCCCCAGCAAGGCCCTGCCCATCCCAGCTCCTGGCCTGCGCCAGACCCACGGCCACGGCGCCCCACCCCCACCCCCCCCGCAGCCAGCCTGACCTGAGGAGGCCCTGCTCACCTTTGAGGATGACCTCCAGCTCATCCCGGAGGATGTCGAAGATGCTGTAGCGGGAGCTGGTCTCGGGGATCACATGGCGCCGCAGCCAGCCTCCGCACGCGTACTGGTAGAAGTCATTGCATGGCTCCGTGGAGGGGTCCATGTTCTGCAGGATCCTGGCAGCTGCTCAGCCCCGGGGTGGAGGGGGAAGAGGGCAGAGAGAGCTGTGGGCAGCTGGACAGCCTCTCTGGGCCTCACACACGGCCCCCCAACTTGGGGGTGGCTTGGGAGACTCGGGGGCAGCTGTGTGCCCTTGGGAGGGTCACTTACCCTCTCTGAACCACAGTGGGGCTGGAAGCAGGGGCGGAGCACCCAGCTGGATCCAGGTGCGAGGGCTATACCTTATTAACCCCATGATCTTGACCCACTTCTCAAAGCCTCATTTCTGAGGACACCAGCATTCAGGCCCATGGACCACAGTGAGGGTGGAGATGGTCCCTGCCCACAGGGTGTGCTTGGCTCACGGTGGCCCTGTCCATAAGCTGTATCTGGCCCCTGGCTGTGCCCAGTGTGTTCACTACAGCCCCTTATTGATGAGGGGCCGGGCTGGGTTCTTTCTTCTGTTCGGGGTGGCTGTGTCCCAGGAATCCAGAGTGAGCTGGGTGGCTGGGCTGGACCCCAAATGCAGGACATCCACCCAGGACCCCTGCCCAGCTCTCCCCAGGTCCTCCTACAGAGGACCCCCCACCCACCCGGGAGCCCTGCCCCGTTCTGCTTGACTCAGTCCTGGTGCCCCACCCACGCAGAAAGCATCATCCCAGGCCGCTGGACCAACACAGGTAGAAAAGGCACAGGGTCTCCCCACCAGTCTCTCCCACCCTCCCACTGCTTTGTCATCTGCAGTGGGCAGACTTGGTGATTTTAGACAAATTCCTGGGAGGTGCGGTGTAGGGAGGGAGTGCGGACAGAGCTTGGGTGGCTGCCTGTCTGCGGAAGGGTTGTCACAACCAGGAGGGCACTTACCCGCCACCACGCAACCAGGGCTGGTGCAGACCTCCTCTACCTGCTCAGACTCCGAGAGGGCTGTGGGGAGACGCAGAGTGAGTGCGGGGTGGAGCCCACAGCCAGGTGGGTGGGGCCTCCATCTGGGGGCGGGGCCACAGCTGGCTTCCGGGGGCCTCAACCTGGTGGGCAGGGTGTCTACCCCACCTCTCTCAATGGACTCTCAGGTCAGGAGCATAGCCTGGCCTCCCAGCGTGGAGCCTTGGGGACCTCTGGGCTCTCATCTCACTTGTCCTCTGCCTCCACTGACTAGACAGCGGCCAGGCCTGGAGGGCTGAGGCTGGCCATGCCCTCATGCCAGGGACCAGCTCTTCCTGGTGCTGCTGCCCTCTGCCCTCACACTGCCCGTGGTTGGAGTCTTGCCCAGCAAGCACCCTGCATCCAGCAGGCCCTCACGCTGGTGTCCTTGCACTGTTCCCCTGCCCCGCGCTCCTCCTGTGTGCACAGAGCCCGCCGCCCACCCCCCGCCTCGGGCTGCCTGGACAGAGGCAGGGGCTACCTCGGGGTTCTCGTTTTACAGTGGTCCTCTCTTCCTGTAAGGAGCGCCGCCGGCTAGTAAAGGGGGGCAGCTGCTTCCCTGGGGAGAGACACAGCACTCAGCTTGCTCTGGGCCCGTGGGGGCTCCTTGGGACAGCTCAGGGCTCCCTCCAGTGCTGGTGCTGCTCCCACCCCATGGCTGGCTGGTCATCATGGAACCCAGATGTTGGGGGCAGACCTCAGGGACCTGTTCTGTCTGCTTCCCACCGGGCATGAGCGAGAGGCCAAGGGGCCCCGGCTTGCCCATCTGCCAGGCCCCCTGTGGGCAGCTCCTGGCATCCCTCCAGGGCAGGCACAGTGGCTCATGGAGGGAGAAGCGAGGCCTTTGCGGGGAGCTGATGTTGGCAACCGGGCCCCTGATGCCTATGCCTTCGATGTTGCTGAAGGTTCCAGGTGCCCTCCTCATCCCTCAGCACCAGGTCCTCAGGGAAAGCTGCCAGCTGCCTGGACAGGGGTGTGGGGTGCAGGAGGAGGAACTGCAGGTCTGGTGCGATAGAACCTGGCCTGGTGCCCCTCAGGCTTGGCCTATGGCTGCGTTTCCCCACCCAGGAGGCACACTGGGGCTTAGAGGGCCACACCTCTCATGGAGGCAGGGACTGAGATGTCCTCTGCCCAAAGAAGCAGCAGTAGCCGAGGAGGTTCTGCAGACAGTGGCGCTTAGCACCTCTCACCGTACTGTACTGGGCAAACTAGCTGGAGACGCCACGACACCAGAAACCACCACATCCGGACAGGGCCGAGCCCTTCCGGCTCGGGTGGGTCTCAGTCCTGGGCAGGGCATGAGGAGGGGTGGCCTGAACTGCAGGGCGGTCCTGAGTGGGAGGAACATTCGACCAGCCGTGTCCCTGCACAACAGCCAGGGTGAGAGCTGGGATTCTGGGGAGCCAGGTTCCAGGGGGTGTCTGTGCTCCCGAGATCCTTTTCTATGGGGCCTTCAGGGGCATGGCGGTCATACCGGCAGGGTGAGCAGGGTAGCTGTGTGCCAACTCCCCATAGGAAAGCTGGGCGAACATGGCCCACAGTGAAGAAATCCCAGAACAGCAAAAGAAATGGGTTTATGAGGATGCGGATGTCACAGGCAGCAGGGAGTGGCTGTAATACTAAGTTATAGGGCTCACAGCAAAGGTGGAAGAGGTGTCACTACTGGGTGGGCTTTACTAGATAAATGGAAACTACAGAACAGAACAGACTGGAAATGCCACCTAAAAGGTGAAGGATTTGTGCTGTAGGTGTAGCATGGTACTGAACACCCCAAGAGGAAGGGTCAGCAGCCGTCTGGGTACACAATGTGATGGAAATATGTGGTGAGTGTTTACATTTAAAAATAATTGTTGGGGACTAGGGGGTATAGAATAGTAGTTTACTGCATTAGGGGCCAGACTACTGACCTCGGCCCTGTGGTCTGGGCGGGCGGGTATGACTTGCCTCAAGGGACCGGAGAGTTTGCAGCTACTCGAGTGCTCTCTGGCTATGTTAAGAAAGCTCTTACGCACAGCCTCTTGAGACAAGGTAGTACAAGACAGTATCTGGATGCAGCATCGGGGACAACTGAAACTTGTTCCCCTTGAAATGCTAGACTTGGTCTCCATTTTATTATCCTGTTCTTATAACAGTTCTTGTTCCAGGAAAAGTGCATTACCCACTGGGCTTCTCGCTGACCAATAAAAATGGTCAACACTGAGAGAGACCAGAGAGTCTCTTATACCAAAAAGATATTGTCTTCTATCTTTCTTTATTCCCCACTGCTCCCCCCACCTCAGGTATCCGGGGGTCTCATCAGCCCCCAACAAACAATTACTTGAAAGGACACACTGCTATGAATCCCTGCCAAATTGTCCTCTTTGCTCTAAATACACTGATCCCATCATTCTTGCCACGTTCTGAAGCAGTTCTGGAGTGCTCCTTCCTACATGTCTTCACAAGGCATGATAAAAAATATGGTGCGTGCTACTGCTAAGGGCCATGGAACAGAAAGGCAGTCTCGTAAATCATGCCGTGTCCTCATCCACCTCATTCACCAGATCGGACAGCATGCAACTTCTGGGCTCTTCCCCAAATCAGTATGACCAGGAAGGGTAAACGCTGTAATTGACTCAGGACGTTGAGGTAGCAAGGACAGTGCAACTAAAGACACTCAGAGAGAGGACTTCCAGAGGCAAGAGGACCACATATGGTGGTGCATACCTGTAATCCCAGCACTCAAAAGGCTGAGGCAGGAGGATCACTGTGAGTTAGAGGCCAGCTTGAATTACATATTGAGGCTCTGTCTCAAAAAAAAGAAAAGATAAGAAAAGAAAAGTGCCAAGAATGATGGTGTAAGTGTGTTAGAAGTGAGGAAGAGGAGGATTATGAGGGGATTAATAGCTATATGACTCTTACAGTAATAAATTTTAAAATAAACTCACCATATATTTCAGTCACCTCACAGAGATCAGTATAAATTATCCAAATTGAAACACAAAGGAAAGATAACCAGAACAGAGGGAAACACAGACTTAGAGCTCACATCACAATGAGAATGGACTGCTCCTCTAAGAGCAGGAGGAGGCGAGGGTGTTCTCCCCACCCTCCTGGCCAGCACCGCACTGGATGCCCACTGGCTCTGTCAGACAAGAGGAGGAAGTAGAAGTAAGCATGAAAAAAGTTACACATAAATCTAATAAAATATGTATGAGACTTACATGTGGAAAACTATAAAACATCAATTTTCTAAAAAAATCACGTTATGAATAAATGGAGACATAGTGTATGTTCATGGATTAGAAGACTAATATTTCTAAGTTGTCAATTCTTTCCAACTTAGTCTGTAAATTGAACAGTGCTCTGATCCAGTCTCACATCAACAAATGACTCTGAAGTTTGTACAGAGTGGTAAAGATCTTCAATTTTCTTTTCTTTTTTTTTTTTTTTGGTACCAGAAATCGAACTCAGGACCTTGCACTTGCCAGGCAGGCGCTTGTGCCACTGAGCTATATTCCCAGCCCCAGAGTGGGAAAGATCTAGAACAGCCAATGCAATAATGGGAAGGATGGAGGTTGAAGAACTGTGTTGATCACAAGACTTTCTGCAAGGCTACAGGTCAGCGAGACCGTGGAGTACTAATGGGAGGACAGGCTCACAGAAAAGCAGGTCAATGGGACAGAAAGGGAAGCCACAGACAGACGGACACAAACAGTCCGCTGGTCTTTGCCAAAGGAGTGGAAGCGATGCAGTGGGGGACAGGAGTCTCTCCAGTGGGTAACATGGGGGTAGCTCCACCCAGACACACAAGCCAACCTACACACGGGCTCACACCTCACACAGAAATTAACTCAGAATGAGGCACGATGTGAGTACAGCTTGCAAAACTGTAACATGTCTGAAGAAAACACGAAAGAACATATGTATGATCTCAGGCTGGGTGATGGCTTTCAAAATGTGAAACAAGTAGTGTGATTCAAGAAAAGAAAAAGATTGATAGTAGCTGTTAGAGTTAAAAACTTCTGCTCTATGAAAGACCCATTAAGAGAACAAAAGGAGAAGCCACAAACTGAAAGAAAAGACTTGTAAAGAATTTATCTGGCAAGATACCTCTACCCAGGGGTGGGGATTTAGCTCAGCGGCATAGCGCCTGCCTGGCAAGTGCAAGGTTGTGAGTTCAATTCCTGGTACTGGAAAAAAAACAAAACAAACAAACAAAAAAAGATACTTCTACCCAAAATGCACGAAACACTTCAACTCAACAACCAGGAAACAAACAACCCAACTGGGAATGGACGAAAGGTCTGAAAAAGATGCCTCCCCAGAGAAAAGGCACCATGGGAAGAGAAGCACATGAGACAATGCTTAGCATCATTTGCCATTGTGGAAGTGCTCTAGTGAGGAACCACTGTCTGTAGAGGAGTGAAATTGAAGACAGACTGGCAGCCTATGCTGGCAAGAGGCAGTCAGAGGACCTCCCACTGCTGGGAGACTGCAAAGCAGTGCAGTCACCTTGGCAGACAGCTTCTTACGACCCTAAGCATAATGTGATCCAGCAGTCACTCTATTGTGTCCAGAAGGTACAGAGAAGTAAGGAAGGAGGAGTGGGCGACTCTGGGGGGCTGATCAGAAGCTCATGCTCAGCTCTCTGAGGATGCTGATGGTGCATGTAGAAGTATTTACAGACATGTGTGTATAGGGTGCACACGCACGCGCGCACACACACACACACATACACACACACACACACCTCCTTGCTCCACTCGCTGACAGAGAGAGACCAGAAGCTTCAACAACCCAGGGGTGGCAATGAGCATGGTTGCAGCCAGATCTTGGTTTCCATTATCCAATAAAGGGGACCAGGGCTCTTTGGAAAAATGGTCAATTCTACAACTGGGACAGGAAACACACAGGATGAGCCTAGGGTGTTTTATAGAGGTAAAAAATGAGAAAGTGCTAACTCTAGTCTCTAAAAAACCCATGATGCAAGAGGAATGACAAGGGTTATGTAGGCCAATCAGCAGACAGCTCCCAATGGTAGAGTTGGAATTGTCCAAGCAATAAATATAGTAGTATGGATAATAACACAAAAATAGAATAAGCATTCATGTGTCCATACTGATAGAATAGAAAAGTGAAAGTAAACAAATCCTTCAAAAAATTTCAAATACTGCATGTGGATGTTCTGCCTTTAAGGGGCATGAGGATAACTTCTCCACTCACTCCTTGTGGGAAAGCTGCAGGTAATGATTTCCTCCCAAAGAACACGGAATACCACGGAAGAGAGGAGCACCTGTAAAGGTGCTGACAAATGCTACCTCAAGGCAGGCGACTGGGAGACATCAACAGTGAAAGTGTCTGCCCTTCACTTGTGGCCCCCGAATGATCGTAAGAACAATCCTAACCAAGGAATATTCTGGGATGCACCTGACTAACACTGTCAAGATTATAACAATAAAACAAGGAAATATTACCGCCAACAAGAGCCCCAACAGCCTTGGTCACCAAATGTAATGTGGTGTCTCAGGCAGTGTTCTGGGGCAGAACACAAAGGGAAAACCTGGAAGTCTGTTTTGTTTTTGTTTTTTCTTCCGGTACCAGGAATTGAACCCCCGACCTTGCGCTTGCCAGGCAGGCGCTGTGCCACTGAGCTAAATCCCCAGCCCCAACTTGGAAGTCTGAACAGTGTGGATTCTGCTGACACTAATATGTCAAGGCTGGTTCATGTTAAAGGCTTGATGTTCATGTGACCTTAATAATAGGAGGCTGAACTTGGCAATATGAGAACTCTTACTATCTCTGCAATCATTTTGTAAATGTAAAGTTCTACAGTTGTACAATATTACTTCAAAAACCTAAACACAGGCTCTGAGACTTGTGTGGCAATATTAAATTGGATAGCATTTATGCCACTAGATTCCCAGGGGACAATTTTTGAAGAGCTCACAGCCAATAATTATTCAAAATTGGTAAAGACATAAACTTACATCTCCAAGACATTCAGTATATCTCAAGCAGGATCTATACATAGAAAAGCACAACCACAACACTGGGAGCTAAAGACAAAAAGAAATTCTTAGAAGCAGACAGCAACATACCAAAGACACATGACGTACATAGAGCAACAGTAACAACGATGGCTGACTGCTCATCGGAAACAATGGGAACCAGAAGATGATGGAACAAGCAGTTCAGGTGCGTGAGAGAAAACCAGCAAACCATCAGCTTAGAAATCTACGCCTCCCAAGCACATTTCAAAGATGAAAATGAAATAAGCACATTTCAGACTAAAGCTAAGAGAGTTCGCCTCTACCAGATGCATGCTGTAACAAACACCCACGTGTCTTCACACAGAAAGAACATGAAACCAGCTGGACACCCAGTTTGGTGGGAAGGAATGGTGAGGCCCAGTGGTACGAAAGTGCTGTGGGAGAGCCAGACATTGCCTCTGACCAGTGTGTGTCCAACCTAGTCAGACATAGCTGAAACAATCACTGAAACCAAGGTAGGGGGACCTATGTCTCCTCATTCACAGCTCATGAAACTTCCCAGATCCAACTTTGGCTGCCATAAACTGGAGGAGTCCTATGGTCTTATCAGATGCTGCAGCTCACAGTGGGCCTCTGTGACGACAGTTCCAATGCTGAGTTACATGAGATGGACACCTTTCCCCACAGCACCCCTAACTTACAGCATTTCACTAATTATAACAGGAAGCTGGAGAGGCTCATCGGTGCCACTTCCCAGGTGGGAAAACTGATGAGGGTGGGTCGATATGGCCAAAGTCATGTCCACAGCAAGGGCAGATTTTGCACATAGCCCGGGACTGCCATTGAAAATCTTACTCGGCCAAGCAAGAGAAGAAGCAAAGCAAGACCTCTCCTTGCACACAAAGGTTGCATAGAAATGAAGTTCCTCTGATGCCAAAACACAATTAATAGGCGGCACATAAATAGTCTCCAGCGAGGGAAATTTTCTCCTCCGTAGTGCTAGCGAGGAGTAGCACTTTAATATCCAACTAACATGACCTTCTCTTTGTTCCTTTACATTCACTTAAATAACTTTTGTAATATGCCTGTTCTCTCCAGACTCTATATTTTAAAAGGTAGTTTTGGCATTACCCCTAAATACTGTGTTTCCCAAAGGTTCTTTTTTTTCTTAAAACTTTCCAAATTCCTTGACTTCAGTAAGACCTTGATTTAAGTATTTATGTTTCTTCTCTCTCTGTTACTTTGTCCCCCTCTGTGTCTGTCTCCCTGTCTCTTCCTCTCACACATAAAGAAAGCCGCAAAGAACTGTGATGGAAAAACCTCTCTCCCTGGAGAATGTACAAGCACAGCCCGCTGTCATGCAGGTGTGTGGATGGATTTATGTGCCTTGTAGCCAAGGAAACCAAGGTGCAGCAGTGGAGGCTGGTAACACCCCCAGGGGGTGATGGAGACAAACACATATTCTCCGAGGGAAACTTTCTCAGTCCACACAACACTGGAGTGCCACAGATAAAGCCAAGTCACATATGGATTTATGTTTATGAAAATAAAACTGTGAGTGAGAAATAAACAGCATAACCAGAACCCCAAGGGTTTCAGATTTGTGAGTTATCTAGCCCAAAAAATGGTATCATCGGCCCCAAAGCTTGGCTCCTCTCTGCATCCCTGTCTTGGTCATGGTCATTGTTCCATCAAAGGGGCAGGAGGATATTTTGCCTGTCCCAACTGTGAGTTTTCCATGTGGCTTGCTTTCATCAATGATATGATGTGGGACTGGTTATGTTCCAGTCTGGGTCCAGGCCCTGAGAAGCTTTTGTTTTCACCTGTCCTCTTAAACTCCTGGCACTTCCAGGAAAGAGGCACACCTAGGTCCTCAAAGATGGATGAAATTCCCGTGGGATAGAGCTGCCCAGCTGAGCCTGATCAGGATCAGCTGATCTGAGCCCAACTACGGGTGTGTGTCCTGGCATTTTAAGCCACTGGTGTTCGGGTGGTTTGAAGGCATCAGGTGGTAACTGATGCAGAACATAACATTTGTATGTATGAAATACTTAAAAGAATTGAAAACAAGGACAAAGAACATTTAAAAATCAAATTCATAGAATTTAGGGCAAAGAGCATTGTTCATTCAGAAAGAGTCAGTACCTAAGGACATCTATATAGATTAATTTCATCTATCATCTAAATATAAAGTTGTCTTACATTTATGAAACTGAGTGTATGATATATATCAAAATTTGTATCCATGTAATATTTTTTTTTTTTTTTGGTTTTTCTCTGGTACTGGGAATCAAACTCACGAACTTGCACTTGCCAGGCAGGCGCTGTGCCACTGAGCTAAATCCCCAGCCCCCTCCATGTAATATTACAGCCTTACAAACTTGAGTTAGCTAAGTTTGTACTTGACCTGGGAGCTACAGGTTAGCAATACATAACATACACTCCGAGGAGTCAGTACACATACGTGTTGCAGGAAATTAGTAATTCTCTACTGCAGATGTTACACACACACACACACACACACACACACACACACACACACACCTTTCCATAACTGAAAGATCAAAGCCAGAAGAAAGCAAATACACCAGGAGTTGGCTGAGCTTGAGGGTACAAAGACCCCTCCCTATGTGAGGGCCTGAATGTGTCCCACCGCAGGGCTGGACTATCTGCAAGACCGACAGAAAGCACCGGAGAATCCCACCAGTATGGGCAGGAACCAGGGTTTCCGACACCAGCACAGTTAATCCAGAAACTGCTAATAACTTAGAAAGGTAACTAGAGCTCACCTGTGTCTACAAATTAAAAGAATAAAACCTAAATAACTTGTGAGTCAAGCACAAACTCAGAATGGAAATGAGAAAATACAGAAATGCACTAAGCCTCCCGCCAGCTCCTCCTGGACAGTCGGGGGTCCCTCCTGGGGGACGGGGACCCTGATGGAGGAGCCAGAGACCGCATGGCCCTGGAAGGGTCAAGGAGAGCCTAGCCCTGTGAGAGTGCAGCGCTGGATGGTGGGCGGAGGAAGGGGCAGCAGACAGAGATGGGGACAGGTGGGTGGCAGTCAGACACCTTGGAGGGACTCCAGGGAGCCCCAGGGGAGGCGGCCAGCTGCTGTGGGGTGGCTCTAATCTCCTGGCACCACAGAGGAGGAGCAGCCCCACCCAGTGTCTGAGCCCAGCGAGCTCCAGACAGAGGTTCCTCGCCTTGGCTCCTCACGGTGACGGAGTCTCCTCTCCCTCAGTGGCCCTGCCCTTGTGTTGGCGGTGCCCATCTGCCCTGCTGGAGGGGTTGGGGGCCAGAGAACATGTGGCTACCCGGCAGCAGCTGCCCACCCGGCCATGGGCAGCGCCACTTAGGCTTCCCAGGAACCCATCTACTTTGTCCCCCCAGGGAACATTTAGGGACACAGGTCCTCATACCCTCTTCCTAGAGCCAGCTCCAGCCAAGTGTTTCACTTGCAGCCCTGTGTCCACCCTCCAGAAGCACCACCAACCCAGCTCCGGGGAGCGCTGTCCCCAGGTGCCTGCTGCCTGGTTCAGGGGTGAGAGCTGCCTGGTGCGGGTATCCCTCACCCCAAGGGGTGCATCAGCTTCTCCACCGGACCTTGTGGGGGGAGGGGGAGAGAAGAGGGGAGCGGGGAGCAGCTCCTGGGACCGCGGGGGCCACCCAGGGCAGCCCTGGCCACGCCTCTGCCTTGGTGGCTCCCACCCACCACCTTGCAGTGAGTGGAGCCTGGTGCAGGAGGCACCAGGTCTGGGTACGTGGACTGAGGTCACTGGGGGCAGGGTGGATCTGCAGACCCTGTCCTCCTCTGGATAGTGGCGCCGGGTGGGCTGGGAGGGAGGGTCCGCAGCTCGGGAGTGAGGGCTCCTGCTGCTGGAAAGGCTGGGAACTGCAGCATTAGCTGCAGCGGCAGCAGCAGTGGGTGGCGATGGGGCGGGGGCGTCGGCGGCTTCCCGGAGTCCAGCCCGCCCCGTGCAGGAGTGGAGGGGCGGCGCAGAGCCGCAGAGGCAGCCTCGCCGGCGGCGGCGGCGGGAGCTCTCAGGAGGGCGGCCGGTGCCCTGCAGGTCAGTGTCCCCGGGTCTTCCCACAGCCTGTCCGGGGTCGGCAGCACAGCCGGGGGCACAGGAAGACCCGCTTGCCCCACGGTAGGGCCCTGTGCTCTGGAGGGTGCAGACCCTGGTGGGCGGAGCAGGCGGACAGCGGTCCCGCACTCACCTCGGCTGTAGAGGACGCCCAGGGTCACCAGAGCACCGGTCACCAGCAGGAGCAGAAGCAGCAGCCCCCTCTCCAGGAAGCCTCGGCGCTTCTGCCCTGCCGGGCCGGCTCTGTCCACCATCCCCACTGGGCTCTCCGAATTCCGCATCGCGGGCTCTGGACGGAAAGTGCACAGCTGAGCGCGAAGGCCAGGGCAGGGGAGGTGGCGGGAGCTGCTGGCTGGCGCTTTGGGGACGCTCAGTCCCTGTCTCCCCTTCCAAGGCCAGAGCCCCAGCCTTGGTCGCCTGGTCCTCCAGGCTCTCACACTAGCCCTGGGCCAGAGTCTCTAAGTGCCTGGGGGCTCCCCGGGGTGGGGGGTCGGAGGCCTCGCGGGCCAGCCATGGTGCAGGTTGGCCCCAAGGTCAGCTTCTCTTGGCTCCCTTGCTGCTCACAGCCGGGTCTGCAGCAGGACCGGAAGGCTCCGCTCCTGTGCTGTCCAGGGGCCTCTGCAGTGATGCCACCGGGCTGCTTGTGCCCCAGAGTCCTGGAGCCACAGGCCTGGGCACTGGGTCAGGGACGCTGCTGGGCTCCCTGCCCATCTGTCCTGTTGGAGCCCAGGCGCGGTGAGGGGGGGACAGAGAGGACCTGCACCTTGCAGTGGGAACCATGCCGACCAGGAAGGGACGGGCAGGGCCTGGCAGCCTCGGAGCCCAGCCCCCAGAGCAGCCTGGCTGGGGTGCAGCTTGTCACTACAGAGGACACGTCTTCCTGAGGCAGCCAGGCAGTGGGCAACAGTGGAGGACAACTGGTGACCCGTGACCGAGTGGGGTCCCTGCTGGGGCATGACAGGGACCTGGGTAGGGAGGGCTGTGGGGACAGGGGCAGCAGACTCTGAAGGCTCCTGGCTCTGTGTGTGTGTGTGTGTGTGTGTGTGTGAGCACACTCGTGTGCAGGTGTGAGTGTGCGTGCTAGTGTTTGCATATACCGGAGTGTGCAGGCATGTGGGTGTGCATGGCTCAGCACCTGAGCCGGCATGTATGAGTGTGTGCACCCGTGCCCCTGTGTGTGGGTGTGTGAGCCTGAGCGTGCGTCCCTGAGAGCTGCCTGGATGTAGGAAACAGCTGGTGCTCTCCTCTCTGGAGAGAGAAGACAAACGCGCTCTGGGCAGGTGGCTGTGAGCCATGTGACCCACGAGTGGCTGGGTTCCGTGTTCGTACCCCGGGCCCTTGGGCTCTGGCTGGGCTCTGCTTAGCTCACGGGGTCTCAGATGTGTCTGTTACCCTGTCTGGGCGTCACCTGCCTCGTAGTCCGACTTGAGGGGAGGCTGGGAATGGCCGTGTGAGGCCCCGCATGGACACCTGGCTTCCTCGGCTCCCTGACAGGGTGCTGAGCAGGGCTGGGACCTGGTCCCGTGCCCTCTCCATTGCCTCCTCTGTCTCCTGACCTGCAGGGGTCACCCATCTAGCACCTATGACTGTGGAAACCCCAGGAAGTCCGCCCCAGGTGACCCCATCTTCCAGATGCTGCTGCCAAACCCTGGAGCCAGCCACCCTGGACTCCCGCGACCTACGCCCAGCCAGTCCTGAGCCTCCCTTCTCCCGGGCCTGATGTCCTCTCACTTCTGCGCCCACCGCCTGCTCTGAGCCCCCCACCCATGCCGCAGCCTCCTAAGCTCTGTCCCCCACCTCTCCCGAGGAGTTCCTAAATGGGGAATACCAGTCCCAGTGTTTGCATATACCTGGCACCCACACCTGTTGGAGGAGCGGCTGCACCTTGTTTGTGCCTCAGCATGAGACAACGCTTATGACTGCCACTGCCCTTTGGGCCTCCTCAGAGCTCCTTCGTCAGGACCCCCATCTCTGTTCCCTCTAAAGTCACATTTCCTGGGGGGCTCCCCGGGTGCAACTGAAAAAGCCTCAGCGTCTCCCCTGCTGTGTCCCCCAACAACATTGGTTCCACCAGTACTGAGGTTCCTGTCTCCACTGTCCCATGAGGCTGACGCTTCCGTGGGAGCAGGACTCAGTCTGTGGGATCTGTACTGGGACTAGTGCCTGCCGCCCGGCACCCACACATCTGCGAGGGACCACGACCTGGGCACTCACACACCCACCGAGGGAGGCGTGAAGGGAGGCACTAGTGAGTTCCCTGCCAGTTTTGCACCTATCCTAAGATGTCACTCACGCATTCTGCCAGCTCCCTTTGCTCTGTCCTGAAAGTTTCCCTGGACTTCCTGTGGGGCCGGGGATGCCCACAGTAAAACTGGAGATGGATCCAGGTGACCCAGGCAGAGGCAGCGGGGCTGTGTGCCAGGCTTTGTGCTGGTTGTACCCTGCCAAGGCTGGGCCCTGGCAGCTATGGTCCCAACTGCTCGAGATGGTGCAGGTGTAGGAGAGAGGCAGGTGAGGCCACCCAGGAAGTATCCTCTAGGCCCTGCAGGAAGTGGGCTGGCCTCTGGGTGGGTGTCCTCCAGGAGCTGCCCAGGAAAGCAGGCCAGCCAGGCCCTTGTCTAGCAAACCTCACCTTTCTGTCACTCAGGAGTGGCCACCACCCACAGTAGGTCCCTAAAGGCTGGGTCTGGAGGTCCTGGCGTTGGGGTGCGTTGACCAAAGGGAGGGCTCCGGTCTAGGAGAGCAGCAGCGGGGGTGGGGTGGGCTGGGCTGTGCTGTGAGGTCACTCTGGGTTGCTTCCGGCTTTCTTTGTGATGCTGCGCCTGCTGCCTGGAGGTGGTGACACCCTTAGTCAGGAGTTCCATGGGGCTTGGGTGGGGGAGGGGGCCCCAGCTCAGGGTGCTGCCTAGGCCCCTCTGCTGGTCCATCCCACACACCTAGAGGGGAGATGCTGGCCAGGGGCTCCACAGGCCCTGCCCAGGTATCCTCCCCACTCCTCTGCAACAGCGGTGATGGGCTTGGGGCCTTTCTGGGTGGAGGGGATTTCTGCTCACAGTGGGGTAGGTAGGGCTGCAGGGATTGTCCCCACCCAGAGCCAGCGACCCAGACTGTCTCAGTGGGGTACAGGATCTGGGCAGAGCAGGTTCCCGTAGGAACTGAGGGGTCCCCTTCTCCAGCCCCATCCCTGCTGGTTTCAGGTCCCCTGTGGCAGGGCCTCCTGCCCTTGCCCAGGCCTGGCTCTGTGAAGGGTCTGTGTGGGACCTGGCCAGAGAGCCAGGGGTCCCAGGGCAAACATTGCCCCGTCGGAAACTTCCAGTCCGTGCTTAGAGGGCCTCTGAGGTTGGGCCTCAAACTGGCCCCCACTTTCTGGGGAGCTAGGAGTGGGCCAGGGCTCTGCTGGGCTGGCTGGGGTCCCCTCCACGGACTCTGAGCCTCCAGGCCTGCCCTGCACCTGTGCTCCCCACTCCAGGCCTGCCCCACGCTCAGCCTGCCCCTGTCTAAGGCCACTTGGCCACCTGGGACTCAGACACGGGCCCATCTCTGAGTGCACATTCCCTCCTCAAGTTTGGGGCTGCCCTGCCCTAGTGGAGACGCAAACGAGAGGCCGGGGGACCTGGCCTTGCACCCAGCAGCGCAGCAAAGCTGGGAGAGCCCGGTCCTGGCCAGGACCCCATCGCAGTGCCTGTGAGGTGACACGGCACACAGACACACCCACTGGCCCAGGGCTGTGGCCCAGCACACCAAGGGTGGACACTAATCCTTGCTTTTAGCAGAGGTCAAGGAGAGCGGGGCCTTCCTCGCACCCCTGCCTTGGGCAGCAGCTGGGAGGTGTGGACAGCCGCAGCCCAGGGGTCCAAGGGGGTGGCTGTGACGTGGGGAGGGGACTTCCCTCAGCTCAGTGCCAGGACCAGTGCACGGCTGGACTTGGCCCTCACCCACGCTGCTTGCAGGAATGGCCCCCCAGGCCAGCCATGCCTGTGCCCCAGTCGGAGGCGGGTCCCTGCCCTGGGCAGGCGCATCCTCAGAGTCCCTGCACTCAAGGTGCGGGCCAAGCTGGCATCCAGACCCCTGCGCAGGTGCTGCCTCCTGGAGTTGGCCTCGTGTGGCCTGGATGGAGGGTTAGGGGCTGAGCCTCATCCTGGAGCCACCAGCCTAGCCCCCATGAGCAGCTGGCACATCAGGCCTGTCACCTGTGAGAGGGGGTTTGGTAGACTTGTTGAGGAGTCAGGCCCAGGACAGGGGTGTGCCCAGTGCCAGGCCCAGGGCTGGGCATTTGAGGAGGGCCAATGCCCGAGGTCTGTCTGACAGGCATCTTGCCCTTCTCTGAACTTTGCAGATGCTGCTTCTAGATCCTCTGGGTGTTTGCGTCCCAAATACACAATCAGCCACTTTATAATGGACTTGCATTTCTTCATAGCAAACTGGTGCCCCTGCGATGCCCACCTCCCAGGGGCCTGTCTGCTCAGACACCAATGGGAAGAGTAGCCCAACATCCCAAGAGGGGGTCAGGGTCGTCGAGGGTGTCCTGGGGCCTGACTGCAGGGTGAGCTCCTCCCCACTGGAGCTGGGGACCTGTGGCATTGTGGGCTTCTTGTGACAGTGGCCAGGAAGGCCGTGGGGGTCCCCCAGTCGCCTGCCTGTGGTTCCAGCAGGTGGAATGACAAGCTCAAGGCTCTGGAGTCCCAGGGCTGTCATCCAGCCACCCCGCAGGAGCCCCTGGCTTCCTGCAGCCTCAGTGCTGAGATTGCTGAGCGGCTGCAGACTTCTTGCCTTAAGTCAGATTCCAATGTGGGGCGCGAACTCAGCCCCACCAAGTTCTCATGAGATTTGGAAGAGGACCCTGAAACATGGAATGGCAGTGTCTTGTTGGCTGAGACAAAGCTGAGGATTCTGAAACCCTGGCCTCTGAGCTCCTTCTGGCAGAAGCAGGGTATTCCCAGTCTAAGCTTCCCCAAACCCTCAACATACCTGGGCCAGGTGCCAAGGAGGCCCAGGCAGGTGCCAAAGAGGCCCTGGGGGCAGGTTGACGCTGCCCAAGGAGATGGGTGATCTGCAGAGCATGAGCCCTGATATGTTCCCAGCCCTGATATGTTCCCAGGCAGTACATTCTGGTGTCCGGGGCCTTTCTGCTGAACTTGGAGGGGCCGTGGCTCTTGGGCCTGCACAGGCTGGGGGTGGTGAAGCCCAGCTGGGCCCAGAGAGGAGGGCCCTCAGGCAGCTGAGACTCAGCCCTTATCCTCAGGGGCCCGCAGGCAGGGCAGAGGTGGTGGGCTGGGGCCAAGCTATCCTGTCTGTCCATCTGACCCACTGTGTCCATCCAGTGGCTCATCAGTGACGGAAATCTTTCCTTTTCACTGTGTCCTTGTGCTGTGGAAGGGGCAAGGGTCTCTCTGGCTTTTTGTTTGCAGTACTGAGGATCAAACCCAGGAGCTCATCCACGCTAGGCAAATACTCTTATCCTGGAGCTACATGCCCAGCACTTTTTATTTTGATAGTTTCCCAGGCTAGCCTTGAAGTTGAGATCTCTTGCCTCAGCCTCCTGAGTAGCTGGGATTAGAGCTGGCATCACTATGTCCCATTCCTCTGAGGTCTCAGAAGGGTACAAATCCCATGTTGTAGGTCTTGATCACTTCCCAAAGCCTCCACCTAATTCCATCCTGGTGAGGGTGAGAATCGCAACATATGAATTCCCACAGGAAGCAGGCAGGGGCCCACAGGAAGGTGCCAAGTGGGAAAGGCTAACTCAGGGCCCCTGCAAGATGAGCTGTGGATAGCACTGCTGTCTGGAGGGGACAGGAAATGTGAGTGGGTGGGAAGGCTCTGGTGGTGATCTGGCTGGATGGGCACCTGCACACTTGGTGTGGCCAGCTCCCCAACATCCCTGCGTGGACCAACAGGACAAGACACCCGGGTGGGAGGACGGGAAGCAAAGGTACAGGGTGGAAGGGCGCCCCCAGGGGCTGCCTGGTGCTGTCTCTGCTGGCCCGTCCTGCAGCTCAGAGGAGCTGGGCCTTGCCCTCAGTCCTGGCTCCTCCAGCCCAGGCCCACCTGAGCTCATGACCCGTGTCCCCAAACCTGCGCTCATGACTCTGCCCCTTAACCTGGCATGCCTGTCCCTGGGCCTGCTGGCAAATGGCTGACCACTGAGTACAGATGGAGACAGGAGGGTGGAGTGGACAGGAGGGTGCACAGGGATAGAGTGACATGGTGAGGAGCTATGTGGAAGATCTCGAGTGGGGAAAGCAGAGTGGGGACACTGGGCTGAGCACCTGCTGGAGCCTCCTCCTCTCTGGGCTTCTGACTCCTGTCCTCGAGGTGGCAGACACTGAAGCCTGCCCAGCTCCTTGTGACGTTCGGCATCTTGGGTGGCCTCAGCCGGGTGACAACAGCAGAGGGCCGAGGATGCCCTATGTGGTGAACCATGGCAGTGGTGAAGCCTGGGGAGGGAGGAGGCTGCCAACCCGCCAGGCCACTCTTGCTGCTGCCCAGGGACAGGCAGGGTTGGGGCCACTTCTGCCACAGCCCAGACGGATAGACCTGGGGAGCCCTGGAGGCAAGCAGGGCTGCGACGGTGGCCGGGTCAAGACCACAGGAGGAAGGGGTAGCTGGGCAGAGGCCAATGAGTGCCCAGGATGGGGAGAAGCAGGCAGGGGCCCTAGGAGGGGCCGATTCACACCCATCTGGCCTGCCCAGTGTTCCCTGGGTTCAGGGACACAGTGAAAACCCTCCAGTGAGGTCTCCCTTAGTGATCTTGACAGGAAGGACAAGGCCAGGATTTCCAAACATGCTGGCAGGAAGCACGACTGCCAGGGACATTTAATCCACGGGGAGAACACATTCCGGCCTCCTGGACAGAATGCAGGCCGAGTAGAAGCTGAGGGCCTCTGTGTGGAAGGCAGGGGATGGCTGGGGGAGTCCAGGTAGAGGACCTCCACACAGGCCAGCTCCCAGGGTGGGCAGCATGGGTGAGGTGGGTGTCATGGGGCACAGGTCAGAGCTCACTCAAAGGTAGGTCTGTGCCCAGAGGGCCAGTGTGGGCTGGCACATCTTCCCCAGGGCCACAGGGGCTGCCCTTGATGCTACCAACCCTCAGGATCCCAGGCTGGGCCAGATCTGAGTCACCTGCATAGCCTCGGCCATGGGGACCCAAGGCTGCCCACCGTGGTAGGGGCTCAGCGCCAGCAGAGCAGGGCTCTCACCAAGGGAAGCTCTTCCCTTCTGCCCTTAGTTCCTAAGGAAAAGGGGTGGGAGGCTGGCTGTCCATGCCAGGGTTGGAGGTCCGCGGGTGAGGAGCGCAGCTCAGTGATCTGGGAGCTGATGCATGCACCCCAAGGTGAAAAGCCAGGGGCCCCGTGGTCAGGCCCGGCCGAGGACCGGCCATATCAGTGCAGTCGGCAGCCGGAGGAGGCCTCTCTCTGGGTTCTAGCCTTCAGCTTCTTCAGACCACCATGGTTGGGGTCCACCAGGAGGCCACTCCGGGCCGCTGTCCAGGCCTCTTCGTAGCGCTGCTCCTCCAGGCAACGCTGCCCAAAATGCAGGAACACGTGGACAGTAGGGGCCTGACCTGGCCGCTCCCACAGACTGCGCTGGGCCAGAGCAGGTGACAGCTCCAGAGCCCGGGCAAAGGCCTCCGCGGCCCCCTCCTTGTCCCTCAGGCCCAGCAGCAGGCGGCCCCTGGAGCAGAAGTCCTCTGCCCGCCCCGGCAGGTCACTGTCCCCTGCACCCTCCTGCAGCACTCGGTCCAGGTCCCTGAGTGCCCGGCCAAACTGCTGCAGCTCGCCCAGGCAGGTGGCCCGTAGACGCAGATGGCAGGTAAGGCTGCCCCCAGCCAGGACAGCGAGCGAGCAGTAGCCTAGCGCCCGCCCGGGCTGCCCTGTATCCAGGAGCGTGCCGGCTTCCTGGGCGGCGGCCTGTGCAGAAGACGGAGGGAGGGTGCAGCGTCAGTTCAGGCCACGGCCTCTCGCCCACGGAGCCCCTCTGCCCAAGCAGCCTCTGCTGCCCGTCCTCCAAGGCTGCCCGGCCCCAGGACAGCACCCAGCTCGCCTCTGCCCGACATGGTCCTGGGTGCCATACGCCTCCCCAAGGCTGGGGGAGGGGTGCGGCTCTGCACTAAGGGGTTCTCCTCCTTGGTAACCCATGCCCGAGGCATTTAGAGTGAGGGACTCACTCGGGCTCCTCCAGGAGCCCCAGCCCCATCCCCACATGCTGGGCTGTGCTGGACTCTAATCCCCGGACTGCGCGTAGCCGAGGAAGGTGCCAGGGCCCCACGTGGCGACAAGGGTGCACATTAAAGCTCGAAAGACTGTGGGACTCAGGCAGGGGCCGACACGCCCACCGGCGGGAGGGTGATCGGGCCGCGCAGGCGCAGAGTGACAAGAAGGCCGCCTGCGGGCGGGGCACGCACTGCACAGGAAGCGGGGCGTGATCATTTCCGGTTTGCTTCCGGGTCGGCACTTGCAAGTAGCTTGGCAACTGCTCGGCCTTTGCAGGTAGCCAAGCCAGCCTTGGGGTTTCGCGACCTCTGCCCCGCGAGTCTGCCCTATAGCTCCGCCACCCGGCTCCCAACCAGCGGACCCTTGAGCTTCGACATCCCCACCACCACGCACTAGAATTCCGAGACCGCCGCCCAACTTCCAGAGCTCGGAGACCCCGCCCAGCCAGCCTCTCCCCTAGCTCTCTAGTCGGTACCCCTGGCTCTGAACCCCGGCCCAGCCAGCACCTCAATCGCGTCCCCAAGTCTACGACCCTCGGTGCTCTGAGACCTCCGCGCAAGCTCCCGGAGCTCTGAGATGCCCCGCAGTGACCTCTCCCCGCTCCAAGACCCGCGCCCAGTCACCACACCCCCAGGCCACCAGGTTCTCAGAGCGCCCCTTCTAGTTCCTTAGCTCAGAAACCCGCGCCCCAGCCAGGGTTTCTCTCCGAACTCCAAGACCCCCGCTCAGCCCGCCCTCCTTCCCGCGCAGAGCCCAGCTGGGTCTTAGCGAGCCCAGCCCAGGCCTCTCCTCTTGGGTCAGAGGCCTCTGTGCTCTCCACTTCGGCCTCAGAGGCCCGTGTCCCTCCTGAGAGCTCTGAGCCCCCGTCTCGGCCCCTCAGTTCTAGGTCCTCACACCAGCGCAGCCTCTGGGTGCCGCTCCCCTGCCACAGTGCTGTCCTGCAGCAGGAAGACCCCAACGCTTGTCGGCCAGCGGCTTTCGGCTGAAACGCCCAGGGCGGTTCGCTAAAATGCCTCCCATGGTTTGCTGAAATTTCCAGTGCTAAAACGCCTAGTGGGGCTTGTTTCCTGTTAGCTTTGACTGCTAGGACCCGCGGGCAGGGGGAAGGGCACGCAGAGGTCGGAGTGTGACCCTGCATCCCTCTGCTGTCAAAGCCTGTATTCCTGGCCTGAGGTGACACTGGGGTGGGCTTCCTGCTGAGCCAGGTACCCCAGGCTGGCTCAGCCTCGCTCTGGGAGAGGGCTCCTTCCCCCAAGTCACCCGGGGCTTACACTCCCCCTGCACAGAAGCTGGGAGGTCAGTGGAGCTGTCAGGGGTACAGGGGTCAGCAGCCATGGTCTTCCCAGCTAGACCTGGGTGGGACTCTCACACCCCCCAGACCCAGTACACCAACCCACCAGTGGGGAGTGAAGAACCCCCTGAGTGCTGGGCCCAGGGGTTCTTGGGGGGTGGGCAGAATGGGGCTCCGGTGTCGTGCACACCTGGGTGAGGCTCTGCCGCTCCGAGGGCTGCAGAAGACGAAGCAGAAAGCTGAGGTCCTGGGCATCTGTCTCTGCCAGGCACTGCAGGTCCTGGGCAGCAGTGGCCACGTCCCCTTTCTTGATCTGGAGCAGGCCCCTTCGGGCCCTGGCTGCCGCTGATGGTGGGGAGGGCTGCAGGGCTGGTTGCAGGCGGGCACCAGCCTCCTCATACCTGCCTGTGGGGATCCAGGGAGGATGGTCAGCATGGGTCCCCGGCAGGAGACACACACAGCTAGATACGCGACCCTGGGAAGCTGTCACTGCTTTCACTGCCCAGTGCTGGCTGGAAGGCCGGCTGATGGATGCTCAACCCCAGGACAGAGCTGGCTGCACACCAGGAGTCTGTGTCCATTGTGTGCTGATCTGTCCCCCACCCACCGCAGGGTTCCTGGAAGGCACAGCAGGCTCTGGTCTTCCAGGAGGTTACCACAGCCGCTGCTTTCTCTTTGAGGCCTGAGAGCAAGGCTGGGCCTGCCTGAGCAGAGCAGCAGGGGTGAGGGGGTGCCTGAAGTCCTGGGGAGCAGGTCTGGACTGCGGAGAGCGCCCCTTGAATGAGTGGTGGAGCGACTGCCCAGCTGCAGCTGATGTGGGCTGGCAGGAAACCGAACACCTGGCGCACAGCTGTGCCCGGCACAGGCCTGGCCTCCCTGCTGGCTTAGTGAGTGAGCGGCCAGGTGCGAGTCCTTTCATGAAGCCCTCACTCTCCTAGTCTGGTGCCAGAAGAGAGGGACAGCGGCTGCACAGCAGGCCCCGTGGGGACCCGCGGCCATGGACTAGGGTAGAAGGCCAGAGTGGCTGCGGTCTGGGGTTCCCTGTCCTGCTTTGCTGAAAGAATACAGAGGGTCGGGTGTGGGCCAGACACTGCGTCCCTGATCCTGGGCAATCCATACCCAGCGCCACGAGGATGTCTGCGAGGAAGACATGCCAGTCTGGCTGTGCAGCATCAATTGTGCTCAGCGCATCACCCATGGCAAGGAGGCCATGGGCGTCCTCGTCTGCGAGGGGCGTCCCAGCGTCCAGCAGCTGGCTCAGGAGGGCCCGGCAGTGGGCATGGAGGCCTTGAGTGAGCAGCAGCTGTGCTTCCGGCTTCAGAGAGCGGAGCTCAGGGACCACAGTCCCCGGGTCGAGCCTCAGGGCAGAGGTGACATCGTTCACAGCTCCCTGAGGGGGAGGAGGGCAGAGTGGGTGCAGGGGCAGTGGGCAGACGGCAGAGCAGGACAGCAGGCTGTCGGGTTCTCATCTTGGGGTCCCAGAGGGTCCCCCTACTAAGTTGCTTCCTGCCCCTCCCTGCTCTCCACGGCTGCAGTCTGCCACCCGCTTCCTGGTCAGGCATTTGAAGACCCCGGGGTCCTCTGCTGATCTCTATCCCTCTGAGAGGCCAGACCCTGCATCCAGCCATCATCTCCCAGTTTCAGGCTCCTGACGTCATCAATGGCCTGAAGCCAGTCCCTAGCAGCTCCCTTCTGTGGGTGGCCGGGGACTCTGCCCTCGGCTGCTGCCCTGACCAGGCCCTGGAAGCACACAGGGCCTTGGTGATCATTCAATTAATTGATCAGGGTAAGTCATTTGGGCCAGCAACAGGGGACTACTGCAGCCATCTTCCTCCTGCTGCCAGTCTCCTGATTGTCCTGTGTGTGCCTTCTCTTCCTACCTTTTGGGGTTAATTTTTATTTTTATTCCTCTATTGGCCTTTGCTCACTTTTAAACTGAGTTCTTGTTGGTCCTTTTAGTTCTTTATGAATTCTGAATATGAACTGCTCATTGTATACATGATTTATATTTTCTCCTGTTGCCTTTTTACTTTATTCATAGTGTTCTTGGGTGTGCAAAGTTTTTAAAATTCTCAGAAGTCCAATTTGTCTACTGTTTTTTGTTACCTGTACCTTTGGTACATATCCAAGTAATCATCACAAAATCCAATGTCCTGAAGCTTTCTCCTATGACTTCCTCTAAGGGTTTCCAGATTTAGGTTTTCCACTGAGATCTTTGATCCACTTTGAGTTAATTTTTGTAAATGGTGTGAGGTAAGGATCCAGATTCATTCGTTTGCATGTATTTCTCCCAGCACTGTCTGTTGAAGGTATGCTTCTTCCCCCATGGGTCCCCAACATCTTGGCATCTTACTGAGCATCCTTTTGGTTCTGTATGTGAGGGTTTAGTCCTGGACTCTCCATTCTACTGGTCTATATGTCTGGCTTGTGGCAATATCACACCGCTATGATAATGGTAGCTGTGTGGTAAGTTTAGAAATTGGGAAGCCTGAGTCCTCCAACTTTGTTCAAGATTGTTTTGGCTATTTAGGGTCCCTTTAGGCCCCATGCAAATTTTAGGAGGACTTTTTTTTATATTATTGCTGCAAAAAACATTGGAATTTTGTGAGGATTATACTGAATCTAAAGATAACTGGGTAATATTGACAATAGTATTAAGTCTTTTAAGCCATGAATGTGGAGTATATTTACATTTATTTGTCTTCAATTTCTTGGTTAATTTTGAAATATCTTATTTTTGATACTATTGTAAATGGAATTTTTTCCTTAATTTTCTGCTCAGATTGTGCAGTTACTGTGTAAAATACAACTTTTTCATGTGTTGAGTCTGTGTCCTGCCACCTGGCTGAATTCACTTATTAGTTCCAACAGGTTTTTCAGACTCTTCAGGGTCTCCTACGTATGAAACCTGACTATATGCAGCACGGGTACTTTTACCTCTTTCCCTCCAATTGGATGTCCTATATTTCTTTTCTTTGCCTAGGCACTCTGGCTAGGACTTCCCATCCCATGTTTAGCAGGAGTGGCAGGTTCTTCCCCTTCTGCTGTTAATGTCTTGTATTGCACCAATCAGCTGTTACACATGGAGCCATTGCCACCTCCCGTGAGTAAACTCCACTTGGCAGTGGTGTGTGTGCCTCTCACTGTGCTGTTGAGGACTGTTTTGCTAGTATTTTGTTGAGGACTGAAGCACAGTGTTCATAAAAGGTATCTGTAGTTTTCTTGTAGCATCCGTCTGGTTTTGGAGCTAGGGTATTGTTGGGCTCAGAAAGAGTTAGGAAGTGTTTTCTCCTTTTCCAGGTTTTTTTTTTTTTTTTTTATTTTTAATCGACCTCGTAACCTCATGTTGGCCAGGCAGGCACTGTGTCCTCTTCCAGTTTTAAAGAAAAGCATGAGAAGGGTTGGTGTTAATGCTCTAATGTTAGATGAATTCCCCAGTGGAGC